TGGGTTCATTGGATGAACCGTCTTCATTAGCCCAGTCTGAGCAGAACAGTAGGACGTTAAACCTCATTTTATTTCATTGCACTGCATGAAATACGAACGCATTAACTGATTTTGCATCTGTTTTGTGTGGGTTAAACAGATTTTCTAGAGAAAATAGAGTAGATAATAAAACTATTTTTAAATGTTGGGAATATATGGCCGATACGTAACTCTTCATACAGTGGACATTAAAGTAATAAATAGGCTTCATCTTCAACTTTGTGCATGTAGCATTGTTGGTATACTCTTAGATTTTTTTTTTGGGGGGGGAGGGGTGCTTTTCGTATCTGTCCATTTTAAGTGAGTGGGGACTAGGTCTGAATGCGGTCATGGCTATTTTAAAATTCTTATTATGTACATATGTTTCTATATACCAGCCCTCTCTCTGCATTTCTACTCCCTCCCCGTGGCGAACTGACCTTCATGATGAAAGGAATTGATTTGAATTTTTAGTTTTCCACTATTTTAATTGCAAAGGACAGCGTATACAGTCGATCGGGTGTGACGAAAAGCCAAGACCCCGTATACACATTGGTTTGCACATAAAAGAACCCTTGACAGTTGGAATTCGATATAACAGTAGCGGCTGCCCGGGCAAAATATGCCCGTCTGCATTAGCCCAGTCGGGGCAGTACGTTTTACGCTAAACTACATTTTATCAGTACCTGGGCCCTCAAATATTTCGTCCATTGTATAAAATTTCTAAAAAATGTTTTCTAAATGCGTTACGCTGGTAATGTAAGACCAAAATTAAGGCGAGTCGTCGTTTTCGGGTCTTCGGTGTTTGTTTTATACACCCACTGCGCAACCTGATGTTTTAATCTTTGTTATCTAAAACATCTAACCGGAGTAGTATATTGCAGAAAATAATATAGTCTCGTGTATACACGGTTCATTGACTACTACAATACTCTTTTTAACACGTGACAATCATGTCTATATAATATCAACGGGAACAAGGTTTTATTGTAAAGGTACTTGATAAAGTGGGCATACAATGAATGAATATTGAATTTTGTAAAGATTTCATTTGGTGAAGCTTTATTTCATTTACCTGGGTATTACTTGTCATTCATCCACGTAGATATGAAAGATTCGGTAGACTGACCTTCAATTGGCACTCCCTACCGGCACGTATTCTCTTTGCCTCTTTCACTATAATACATAAGTAAAACACATAATATCGCTATAACCCACCTCAATCCTCGTCAAATGAAATGGGATTTAGCGATCTACTATTTCGGCTGCATCCAGGATAAAGAAGACGGGCATATGAAGGAAGTTTTGCCCGGGACAGAGGTGCTGCGGTCTACTCGTATTTCAAATTCCAACTGTTAGGTTTTTTATGTGCAGGCCAATATGTTCACGAGACCTAGGTTTTTATCCCATTCGAATGACTAGACGCTGTTCATTGCCCCCCCCCCCTCAGACCTGCACCACGGACCTGAATTTAACCCGGGACCTTCAGGTTAGCGAGCCAGCGCTTTACTCACTGAGCCGCCGCGTGTCCCAAAAGTGCTTCCCGAAGTTAAAAATTAAGTTCTTATGTGATTCTTCTATCTAATCACCCCATGAGAGGAAGAAAGATAGACAAATGGAGTTTAACGTCCACTCGACACAAACTAGGTCATTTCGGGACTAACACATGGCTCAATTTTAGTTCATTAGTTCGCTGTAGGGGTCTTTAGCAGCCAGATAAAAAACCGGAGGACCCGAGGACCCGGAGGAAACCCACGAGGTTGTACAGGCGAACATACTCCTTGTCACGTACAAGCGGGGAATCAAAACCACGCCACTTGAATCAATGACAGACCTATTGATGCAACGCGCACTCGTTAACCATTCTATTATTTTTATTTGTATATGCACATAACCTTGTAAGTTTTTTTTATACAATAAAGTTTCTTCTTCTTCTTCTATACAAACACGACTGCATAATATATTCCAATGACGTAATTACTAAAACTATACTATATTCACATTCATATATCCACCCACCCCATGCATCCACATGCATGTCTATATATAATAGATCTATTTAGAAATGCCCCGATTACCAGCTCTGACCTTTAACCCTTTACAACAATTATTACTTTGATTACACTTTAATGAAATCTGACATGATTATAGCCCCAGTTATGGTCTGTGTAAGGATGAATAGTCCCTAGACCAAAACAATTGCTGTGTAGGGGGCGTCCATGGGAAGCGTCTGTTGATGTCCAATAGACCACGCTTCAACGAGTTCCTCTAAACTTAACAATATCTTCGCTCCACATCACATATTACTAAAACTTTCATTTTCTACATGGGTTATTTACTCGGGGCAAATCGTCGTGAGAAAAAAATATCAAAAGACTAAGATGCTAGAGGTCAAAGAGCCGCTATGCTATTAATGAGCATAGGGTTAAAGAGGTCAGTGGAAAATTGTATTCTATAATGCCTTTATTAGTCAACATTCATACTTTAAAACTTAAAGTTGTTACCATAGACAATCCTGGGTACGGGCTATATACACAAACACGTCTATATCAATTCTGAAGATTTTTTTCAGTTTTAAGCATTCATAATTTTAAACTACAATTTGCAATCATAGACAATCAGGACCATGGGCTATAGTCCGATAAATCTCCAAATACATTCGAAAGATTTGATTAGTTTTAAACATTGTACTTTAAAGGGACAATAACACTCTTGCTGGCTTGACAGCTTCAGAAAATAAAAAATAGCCTTATTCTAAGTACTAGATGTGTTAGTGTCCTACCTGTTGTGTAAATTATTCATTAAATCCTATTTTACTTGTCCAGAGGGTTCAAAAATATTTTTAAATCCAAGTCACATTTGAAAAGCTTTACGTCAGCCTTTTCAAATCATTTAGTTGAATTTTCCAATTTTTTAAATTAGGTGTGCTAAGATGAAATTTGTATCATCAATTAATTGGAATATTGTAAAATAGTGCAATTTGTTGACCAGAATAAAGATTGGGACATATTATTCAGTTACAACAAGAGTGGTATTGATCCTTTAAACACTATTTGTTACCATAGACAATCGAAGGATTGGTAAATGTAGGGGCGTGGGGGTAAATGTAGCGTAGGAGGGGGGCTTTTGGGGTATTGGGTCTCTAGTCATGAAAATTTTAGGCTACATATTAAAACTCATGTACAAATTATCTACAATTGGGGCGGGTGGGGTCGCCTTCAAGGCCTACAAATCATCTAAAATCGGGGAGCGAGGCGATTTATTTAGTCACAAAAATCACTAAATTTGTCATAACAATTCAGGCTTCAAAATTATCTAGAATCTAATCAGTAAAGAAAACATGAGCGGTTTTGCATGGTTACAGTCCTATTACATCGTATAGTAAAGATATAAAGGAAAATGATGTAAACACTATAAAGGTTTATTTCATATCTGACATTTTTTTTTATGAAAAGAATCATCATTTTTTGTACAGGTTTCTTATATTTCAAAAGACGCTCGCTCTGAATATGTATGGCTGTGTTTACAATCTTTATCAAAGCAATTATGATTCATTATAGAATATTTAAATTGGTTTTACACCCGTTTAAACTCAGTCTGCACAACGAGAAATATCTGGCCTGAGCCTCCATATTAAAAAATTTTGTAATGCGAGTCTAATCATTTTTACATGTTTCATACACACACAGATTAATTAAACATTTTCAATCTTAAAGCGGATTATTAACATGAAATTGAACCATATGTTAGTCCCAAAATGACCTAGTTTCCGCAAGTGAAAATTAAACCCTAATAATCAGCCATTTCCAACTATTTTAACACTCCGGAAGTAATAAATAATAGTAGGTTTTAGCAATTGCTGTTAAGAATTTACCCGAATATTCGTTTGATAGAGAATAAAGGAATTCCTTTCACCTCATATAGACCATAAGTATTTATGAGAATTTAATATTTACAACTCTCTAGAACATCGGATGGCAGAGATTTAAACGGATTGAAACACGATAGCAATTTAATGATTTAATTTAAAAATGGTGAATCGTGACTTAGTATCGATTAACAAGTACCGTTGCCACGAAATTAAACAATCTATGCCACATCTGGACAAATCCTCAAAGAATGATAACGTCGCCCAGTATAAAGTGATCCAGCTTCAAATTTGAGATAGTACAATAATATAGAAGAAAATATAGTTATAAACAAACCCCTTTTTCCAATAAAAGACTGAATGGAATTATTATTTTTGCTTGCTAATCTGTTATATATCTATATAAATATATTTTTATTTTTCAGTCCAGCGTGGTAGCAAAGCACCATGTGGTCGCGGCGAAGTGACCGAAGGTGCCAGGCATTAACCCTGTTTTTACTGTTCGTCTTGTTTACCGGCGCCAATGGCCAATTGTGTGAACCCCTCGATCCCAATGTTGGAAATAGACTCACCGTCAACATCGTAGAAGGAACAACACCCGGTAAGTTCTGAGATATAAAATACTCAGTTTTTGCACTGTCTGCTTTGTTTTTTTCAGGGGGGTGGGGGGGTTTTCATTCTAGAATTTGAGATCCATATAAAATTATTGGTTTGGTTTCAAATTAAGTGTGAAGGGTAGTGGGAGGACAAACCCTTTTTACCCAAAATCCCTTTTTACGAATTCTATTTAACGAGATTAAGGGGTGGGTGTGGGTGGAGGGGTGTTTTTTTGGGGGGTAATGGATTTTGTTTTCAAAGTAGGTGTGAAGTATTAGTAATTTGGGAGCTTTCGTGGACTATCTGTTCCCGAGTATATGCCCCAAAAACACCATAATCATATCATGTTCTTAACAAAGTTGGTCCAAATTCTTATTTACATTCGGATAAGCTTATTTTTGGGTGTATTTAAACGCCTTGCGTTGCTATCTCTTTTTAGTATAGTAAACATAATTATGACTAACATTCACTTTCTCGTATTTAAAACGTTTTATCTTTCACAGAAAATTTTCCAGAAAGAGATATATACCAAGCTCAGATTCGGATAGGGGGTCAGCTTTTCACAAATGTACAGATAACACTTAATCAAGCTGGAAGTTCCATTAATCCTAATGTCTATTTTAGTATTCAGAGTATAAACAATGGCATATATATTCGTCTAATTAGGACAATTGACAGAGATGTAAGTATCTACAGTTCATTATTTGGTGCATAAATGAACATAAATCTCCTTCGACACTGCAACACCATTTTTTACAAATACAGTTTAAATTTAGAATATAAAATACAGTTTTTTGCATTAAAACGGTTGTTTATTTTGTGGATGGAGCAGAAAAGTAGACCATGCCCCCCCCCCCCCAACCCATGTCATTTCATTTGTTTTGTTTTATGCTTGATTATTTCAGGGACCACCAGCTATAAATTCCTATGACTTCCAGTTGCAGTGTGTTAGTGGAACTTCAGGGGTAAGTGGAAAAACATCTATATAGACAGGCCTATAGTTGAAAAGAAAATTTCGTTCAGCAATATTTAATTAAATGGGAATATATCGTAAAATAACCTACTCTGGTTAAAATCAGGTGTTCTGTGGTTTGTTTTTGATGTTCTTTCGTTGTATCGTATAATGCGTATTATTATACGCACACATTTGATGTGTACGTATATTGCTTTCGCCTGCGTCCGTCGGTGCTTCAGATGTTCCTTGTGACACCCTGTAGCAACCATTTTTGCAATAACAACCATTTTACAACTGGAGCAACCATTTTTGCAATTACCATTTTTCTTTTTGCAATAACAACCATTTTAGAAATAACAACTAGTTTAGAAATAAAAATCATTTTGGCAATAAAATTCAATTACTGCAAAAATGGTAATTTGACTGAAATTTTCAATATATATATATATTCATTTTTATTTATCTATTTTTGAATTATTATAGAAAAAATGGTTAATAAAACTCTCTATTTAATTCATTCTTACATAATGCACCTTTAAAATTAATTTATTAAATTAATAAAGTTTTTTTTAAAACTGTTATTGCAGTCTGTAAGGACGTATGACCTGACTGTCAACATACTGGATGCCAATGATAACGCCCCAGCATACTCAGGATTACCATATGGAACCAGTCTCAACGAGGTAAGGATGCATGCAGTTTACCAATATGATTAAAATGGGATGGTTGGATGGCCGAATGGTTAGCACGCGCGCGCTGTATCATACGGTCTGTCATTGTGACTCCGGGTCCTCCGGTTTCCTCCCACAGCTAAAGACACCTACGCGCAAGCGAATTGTTGAAATAAAATTGAACCATGTGTTAGTCCAGAAATGACCTAGTTTGTGTCGAGTTGACGTTAAACGCCATCTCTCTCTCTCTCTGATTAAAAACGTTGCAGTGGGGCGTCGCGTCTTGGCATAGTCCTACGAGTCACACTGATCAGCAGTGACTTTCGTAATCTTCTGTGAAACAGATTGAGATTGCATACGAGTAGCTTTTGACCATGACCTCAGATTAACGGGGTTAGTGTAAAATTGACGGAGAATGTATTACTAGGGAGTGGGGGTCCCCGCTTCGAGAAAATTTTTCAAAATTGGACTGGTTCGGATACCAAAACTACTATGCATGATCGATTGCGCTGAGACACAAGGTGTGCGCACTTACTAGCTCAGATGGCATGATCTCGTGAGCCACCCTCGCCAGTATCCGATAACAGTGTTTCCACTTGCAAATTCCAAAAATCCAAAATTTTCGAAAAGAAAGTTTGTGTCGAGTGGACGTTAAACCCCATTTCTCTTTCTCTCACAATATACACAGACATAAACAAAATTATATATCAGATCAATTTAATGGGTCTGGGGATCAACGCCGATATTTGATAAAAGTATAATAGTAATACTGCTGAATTATATATCTTCAGATGGCACCAGTAGGAACAACAGTATTTCGTAACATCCAGGCCACTGATATCGATCTCGGGGTCAACCAGGATATATTGTATGCTATTGTTCCATCGGGAACAGGAGATTTGGTAAGGTTTTTTTTCCTTTTTTTATTAAAAAATAAATATATAAAAAAGTTCTTTTTAAACAAAATTTAAATAAAATAGTGTCATACCTGTATGTTAGTCCTGGTATAACCTAGTTTGTGTCGAGTGGACGTTAAACCGCATTTCTCTCTATACATGTATATATATGTATATCTTTAATTATATATATATATATTGTTGAGACTTTTCAAAAGCATCTGCTAGACTGGACCTATTACATGTCTCTATAATATTAAAATGTGAGTTGATTTTAATTTTCTTTGTTGTTTTTTATTTCTTAGTTTGATCCATTTTTTGCGTTCACGATAGATCCTAATACCGCAGTTATCACAGTGAAAATGACTCTTGACTATGAAGTTTTGAGAAATCGAAATGCGCAGACGGTATACAACATAATTGTCACAGCTACTGTAAGTAAAAAGAATTTTATTTAAAACATTATATCGAAAACCTGGGCATTTTTGGAGAAGCCCCATATTTTATTGGTAGGATTGTGGAGTACAAGGGACCGATTCGACACATTTTTACAAAAAAAGACATATCCACATAGCAATCTGCCTATGATTACCGATTATTTTTCAACAACAAATTCGGACGTTTTTATTATACTTCAATCAGTTTTGAAGTGTACTTAATTTTAAATGAAAACATATTCATATTTTATGCGGGTATTTTTTTCCAGGACCAAGCTACCACAGATCTTAAATTAACTTCCACTGCAACTGTAACTGTGACGATAACGGACGGTGACGATTTACCACCTGTTTTTGAATATCCATCATGTAATCGATATACCACAGTCTTCTCTTCAACTCCATGTTTTAATCCCAGATATTCGTCAGACATTACAGCCGTAAGTTATTCATAGAAAGATAACAACAAAATAATGCTACTTTATCGTCTTTGCCTATAGTCTGATTTATTGAACGAAAAGACGATACCACCCCCCCCACACACACACACACCAACCCCCCGTCATCATCTCCAAACAATAATTTGACAAACATCTATTTCTAGGGGCATACGAGTATTATATGTCGTGGTGAATTATATAGTCTTCAGTCACGAAAAGCTGTTCGGTATATTAATTAATTCAGCACTCATAAAATTTAACTCGTTTTTGACTAAACCAAATATGGGAAACTAATCGTATCTTGGTACATGGATGAGACATTTATATAGTGCATTTTGGCAGATATAATGTCGACGTGAATGACTTTTCCTTCTTTCTTCCATTTCTTCTCAAGAATGGCTGGACTCGAATCTGTAATATTACTGAAGACTAGAAGGTCGAGATCACACAGATCAGCAGTGAACATTCCCTAGCTAGACCGATTGAGAAGAGATATCTTATATTCCGACACGTGACGTTAACATATACTTTGGAAGTTTATATATTTATTTGAATATATATGTGCCACAAGTCCGTTGAAATATATAAAATCACTATCATCAGATTCAGCACTCACAAAAACATTCAAGCAGACGAAATATCTCTCACTTGTCGGGTGTCAAGCAAACAACGTGGTGTAAACAATTAGCCATGTGAATTGGACCACAAAGTATTATTCAGTATGAGTGAATGTACACGTGCATCAAACGTTAAAAAACGCATAATTTCATATTTATGATATCCCAATAAACAGTCCCTTTGGTCGGATTCTCATCCAAACGACCATGTGTGAACACAACAATCGCTAAACATACGCCAGTGCGCGTGTTGAACCAACTACATCACTTCCTGTTTTAATAAAAATTAATTTCTAACAAAAATTTTTTTGTTTGTGTTATAGACGGGATTATTTCTGAATGTATATTTAAGATTGATGGAAACTTTTTGAAAATCGTTGGTCTGCCCCTTTAAATTCACTTAGGCGAAACGAAACGTCTTCTACCGGACGTTTCGTTTGGGTATGAAACGTCTCACACCGGAATCCATTCAATATTATTAATATAATATTTCGTGTTTACAAACACTAGAAGCACAGGTACTGTGCTGGTACTGGTAACTGGTAGTGGATTCTATACTTACGTACCCTACCCTCGACTGCTAATTTATGATTTGTCCTTTTTCGAACAATATCTATACCAAACGCATTTTGTGTTTCATTTCTATGCCTAATGACACGATAACTGCTAGTTACCTCCTGCTGAGACAAGTCACAAAGTCGCTCAGGCCAAGACTCACTGTTAAATGTGTGTTATAAATTATAACTATGAGTGGGCATCATGCAATCATGGCCTATAAACTTTTATTATATTAGATTTACTTTCTAATTTTTATTTCTCAGTACCATATATCAGGATTTATACTAATATTAGAGTAATTCATGCACAGAAAAAATCCAATAAACAAGCTATATTTGGGGCTTATGATAAGACTTACTGGTATTAAAAACACCAGGTTGTTAAAACAGGTCAGATTATTTGAGGCTGTGGGCCACTCTACTATTATAAATAATGCTGATGGTCAGAGATCTGGTCTGAATTCAGTGAATTATTCAATTTATTATGTGCATAATACACATTGTACAACAGTGTGCTTATACACATTCGTGTGCTTATTGTACATAACTTAATGGTGTGTGTATTACATATTGTTCATAACTTAATTGTCTACTATTACACATTGTACATAACTTAATTGTCTACTATTACACATTGTACCTAATGTTTGTTTCAGACATCCATAGATCAAGTAACAAATAATAACTTGACATTATACCCATATCCAAATCAATTTATTGGTACAGTTCGACAATCTGTTTTATTACAAGCTAAAGATCAAGATTTGGTTATAAACAATCCAATAAGATACTTTATTCAAGAAAGTAAGAGGACTTTTTATCATTGTTATGCAACCACATTTTAGTGTAGTCATTAATTCTGGCTGCGTCATGTCCAATTTCTTTAGCCATCTACAAACTACCGTACCCATCTTGAGAGAGGCTGGCTTGAGAGAGGCTGGGGGGTGGGGAGGGGGGGTTCTACTTGCCTAAAATATACGCTTTGCATAAGGTCAGTCATATAGTCAGAGAGCATGGTTTTATTCAGAAGTGTGCCTTCCAAACCTTGTAGGTTTTCTCTCGGTCCCATGGTTTCTCCCCCGATTGCTAAAGACCCCAATGTGCAAGCAAATTATTGAAATGTAATTGTGCTATATGTTATATCCGGAAGACACTGTCAATATCCTAGTTTGTGTGGATTGGACTGAGGTTAAAGCTCTCTCTCTCTCTCTCTCTCTCTCTCTCTCTCCCCTCTCCTCTCTCCCCCACTGTCCATTAGAATCAAACTTAAAGTAACTATAGGTCTTCTAACTAAATTATTTTATTTTTTATTTTCAGCTATTCCACCAAACTTTGAAAACTATTTTACTGTAACTACAACAAGCCCTGTAAGCGGTTCTGATTTATACACGGGTGTTATTACTCAAATTAGAACTGTTAACCCCACAAACACAGAGTTAAAAATAGTAGTAAGGGTAAGTTTTGTATAGTTTGTATTCTATTGACTTTACAGATCCTGTGTTCAATTCCTGTGATAACCGAGAAACTTCATTGGGATTTTCCGGCACATTTCCACCGTGTGTGGCATGGAGGGCCTGGCATGTGACAATGTATAGTGGTTTGACGGATGCAAAAAAACTGAAGTCCTGTGTACACATTGGCGTGCATGTAAAAGAACCCTTGACAGTTGGAATTTGAAATAAGAGTAGGCCGTAGTGTTCCTCTCCAGGCAAAATTCCTCTTATAGCACACAGTATGGTGAATGCCAGTCTTCATGAGCTCAGTAGGTGTAGAAGAGTAGGACGTTAAATCCTATTTCATTTCATTTCTTGACTTTACATATATCACAGGTGTCTGTAACATTGAATATATCTTTTACAAATAAAATAAAGCGGAGACGAAGTATCCAATTCATTATATAGTCTATTATAGCTTTACTTTACATTATTATAGATTTATATAGGCTTTTCATTCTGGGTCCTAGGAGAGGGCTCATACATCTATGTTCATTCTAGTAGTACTACCCCCTAATAATAAACACAGGCGGCTGTAACATCGAAAATCTCTTTAAAAGACGCATTAAACTGAAGCAATGGTTTTTCAACATATATTATATAATGGAGGTGGGGTGGCCAAATGATTTAACGTTCTAGCGTTAGATCACAAGGCCTGTCATTGAGTAAGTTGGCTAGGTTTGGATTCTCCGCTTGTACGTGACAAGGAGTAGGGGTGCCTGCCCAATCTCTTGGGTTTTCTCTGACTCCTTCGGTTTCCCTTAGGCACAAGCGAATTATAGATACCAAATTCAACCATATGTTAGTCCCAAAATGACCTAATTCGGTTCAAGTGAACGTTAAACACCATTCTCCCTAATAATTAGCACAGGCTACTGTAACATGGAAAATTTCTTTCAAAAATAACATTAAGCTGAAGCTAAGTATTATTAAGGAGACCAAGCACTGAGTGTACTATAACAGTGAACAGGGCTCACGCTGGCTTTCAGGTTTTTTCCTGCCAAAATGGATTATAATTTTTATGTACAAAAATGTTCATATTTTTTTTCCGCCAACTGGAATATTTTATCTGCCAAAAATGTATGATAAAAAGACAACATGTAACATTTTTATTTCTTAGACAGGTCTATTAAAAATAACTACCGATATAATTACAAAATACAACAACTTAAAACATTCGTCTTTACATAATACATAAGCCCAGTTTTTGAGTCAATTTACTAAGATCCGATTTTTTGGGGGTGACTTTAGTTTATTTGCACACCATATTGCACAATGTATTTACATGTCAAATCTCATCCAAGGACAGCTAATTTTCTATAAATTTATGTTTTGCGTGTACAATAGTCCTATTGTTATTTTCATGTATCAGATTTGTAACAGATGCTTCCATTATTCTTGTCATTCACTTTAGAGTATTTTGGCGGTGGTAATATGAAGCAAATGGCGGACTGTTTTCTCACTCGAGAATCCGATAACGTTTCCGACCAATGGTGATAATATAAATTGAAATAAAAATATCCGATTAGGCATGCTTCTATATTTTACAATGCCCTATGAATTCAACTATCAAGATATTTATTTCTCTTCTAAAAGAACTGTAGGCCATTTTTTTAAAGACGAATCCAAACATCAAATAATCATCGCTTAGACAAACACCTAAATAATGACTTGAGATAGGCTTCACAATAGGAATTTATCAATCAACTAATCATTAATCCGAGACAATTGGTAAGTATTACTCATTGACACGATTCAGATTATCACTTTGATATTGTTATTGCAAATTGCGACTTTGACGACCGACAGTGTGAGCCTTGACATCGAATTTTGGGAGGTAGTCTTTATCAGGGTTGACATCTAGTATCTTTTTTGTTTTAAGAATAGGTTTGTATATTGTAATGAATTAATTTTTAAAATGACATTTACTTAGGCTGAGGAAGAATCCGTAAGAAGAAGATTTGCTCGAGCTGTGGTAACTATAACTATCCGAGGAATAAATGAAAATATTCCAACCTTTACTACATCCCTACCTGGTGGGAGTTTGATTGGTTATATAAAAGAAAACTCACCTGGAGGTACAGCTGTCTCAGATAGTAGCCAATCAACATTTTTCAGGATTATTGCAACAGATACAGACAAGGTATGATATGATTTAGTTAACAGAAATAGATTCTTTGTTTATTTATACAGGGTGTCATCTTAATTGACCTTAATAACAGCATCTGACGGATTCCCCCCTACCCCATCCCCACATATATATGTTGTGTTGGACCTCAATAACAGCATTTGACACATCCCCGTTATCGCACGTCTACAAATATATATTCTGTGTTGGACCTTAATAACAGCATCTGACACAGCCCCCTTATCGCACGCCTACAAATATATATTCTGTGTTGGACCTTAATAACAGTATGTGACGGATAACCACCTCCCATGCCAACCCAGCCCCATCCCCGTCTCACTGCAACAGACCATTTCATTGTCTAATTCCTCACATCAACCAGAACCTGGGTTATATTACAACTCTTTCAGATCCTAGTGTAGTAAAGACAAGTAAAATGAAGTTTTGAAGTATAAAAAACAAAGTGAAATAGGATCTGTGTTTTGTATGTTCTACTTTGTTCCTAATATTTTCCACCTGTCTAGTTTTTCTCTAGTTCTCAATTTGATGTATTGCGCAACAATTTCAACCTCTAATCTTACTGCCAATGTCTTGCTTAAACTTTAAAAAAAAGTAGACTTTCTATTCTTTGGAAATGGCATACCCTTTTGTGCTGTAAATATAATATACTTACATCTCTATTAAAGTTAAACGGAGGGCCTGACAAGGACAGCTGTCTAGTCGTTCGAATGGCACGAAAAAAACGTGCACATTGGCGTGCATGTAGAAAATCCCTCAGCAGTTGGAATTCAAAATAAGATAAGACCGTAGTGTCTCTGTCCGGCCTAAATTTCCCTCATTGCACACTGTATCGTATCCCGTCTTCATTAGCCCAGTCAGAGCAGAACAGTAGGATGTTAAACCCCATTTCATTTTGTTTTATTTCTATTAAAGTCTCTGTACAGCATTGTTTTGTTTTGAGGATAGTATCAAATTTTGAAATGAGTTAATCCATACTAGAAATGTACTCAACAGATTGATTTGATTTTGATGATCATTCATATCTATTGTCACCTTTGTTTGGTTATTTGCAATGTTAAATGTATACGTTTTTTATTGTTTTTAAATAGAGAATCGGGGATAATCCAACTCAGTTCTTCTACCAGTCAGATTCCAGTTTCTTTACTGTTACAAATGATGGGTTTGTGGTGGCAAGAAGTGCAAATTTAGATTTTGAGAATGTTCAACAGCATATCGTTCAGGTATGGGTAACTTGATTGTCAGTTCCCTCTGTGTGTGGGGACAGCAAAATAGAATATCATATTTATAAGCTAAAAAATCACCAATAACATATATGTTTTCCCATGTACATGTATTCTTCAGTTAAGATGGTTAAAAACATTTTGAGATCATTAAAGATGCATTATTTAAGAGCTAAATTTGCCTATTGTGGGTTTTTATTTTGGCTTCAAATGTTAAAGGAATTTTTTTTAAGACATTTAAATAGATTGAAATACAAATAATGATTTAATCTAAAAATGGAAAAGTGAGACCGAGTCTTGATTAACAAGTACCGTTGCTGCAATAAATGACAAAAAAAGAAAAACAAGTTAAAAGTCCCAGTTCGCTTCCAGTCTTTGGTTATATTTGGTAGACGCAGACTCACTAACGAGAAGGGACGGGTTCAATCCTAAAAGTTCCCTAGATATTTTGAGCATGCTGCAGGATGGCGAACCTGGCAAGGGAAATGCATAGTTATTTGGATGGAACGCAAAAACGATGTGCACCTAAACGAACCCTTGACGGTTGGAATTCAAAATTTCCCTCATTGCACATGCATGGCGTACGCCGTACACCCATCTTTATTAGCCCAGTTGTTGTTGAACAGTCGGACATTAAACCCCATTTCATTTAATTTCATTTCATTTCTACTTTAGGTTAGAATAACAGAAAATTTCAATCCACCGCAAACAGCCACTGCCACATTAACTGTCAGTATAATCGATGTAAATTTCATTTAATTTCATTTCATTTCTACTTTAGGTTAGAATAACAGAAAATTTCAATCCACCGCAAACAGCCACTGCTACATTAACTGTCAATATAATCGATGTAAATGATGCCACACCCATTTTTCCTGCAACTATCTATACAGCACAGAAAGCGGCTGGAAATTACGACAATCTTAACCAGAATACACAAGAAATAATACAAGTAAGTGTCTTATGATAAACATACGGCCAAACCAATTTCATTTTCACTTCTTCAGAGTCTTGATGATAAATAACTAGCCACACAAGTCGATTTAAAGAGGTTTTGTTTACAATTTCTAAATTTTAATTATATGGACCTAAAAGCTTTATGATTTGCAAAAACATAGGGAGAAATGGATTGTTTACAAACCTGGAAATAGACATCTGTCACAGACATTGACAGGCACAAATCCAGACTTTGACAAGCATAAATTCAGACTTTCTCAGTCACAATTGCTCTGGTACGGATTTGTGTTTCTGTATGATGTTTAATTGATATTATTGATACATATCTGGCACAGAGGTCAAAATGTCTGGAACTAGTTCAATGTTGCCTAACATGTTGTTATGTCCAACTGAAATTATTATTTACAAGTTTGATTACTTGATAATTATCAAACTGATCAGCAGTAAATATTTGCTTGGCCGCGAATATCACTGATAGGGATGACATCGGGACAAGTTAATAAGCTCTCAATATTACCTTTTTCTCTTCTGCAAATTAAGGTCTAAAACAATTTTTTTAAAGATCACATCAAATGGCCAATCCAAATTTTATGTATTTATAGCCAGTGTTTACTATATACACTTTAGAGCAAGTTCACACCTATCTGAATAATATTGATTGAGCCATCTTCACTCAAAGTCGCAAATATAGACCTGCCGTAAAAACTGACTTTGCCAATTATCAAAAACAGCCTTAATCCCCTCGGACGCCAGTGACGTCACAGTGACCGAATGCATATTAGGAATGGTTATTCCTTACATAGACACACTGTGATGTGTACACATTTTAATGAGTAATGCCTGACTGATTCCTTAATCCCCTAATTAAATAAGACAATTAACTACGTATGATTTGATTTGTAATTTATTTTAATTTTAGATCCTATTTAGAATTTGTTTTAGGAAACACCAAAAAATAAATTGTTTCTCAGGGACCTCCCACACACAAAAATTGATGTGCGTGCAGTCTTTTTATTGGTCTTGATGAAAAAAACAATACATAACTCCCGCCGAACCATTGACATGTAAGTCATAAAAAAGAATATGCCGGCTGTGCTTACTTAATCTACGTAATTACCTCATGGTTTCTCAATTGTCGGACATTTTAACCTCTATTAAGTTAGTCGACAGTATGTGATAACTAGTCATATCCTTATAGTATATAACACTCCTAATCAATGGACAGTAATTATAATGTTCCATTCACCGACAACAAAACATTCTGTACATACACACAAATATATCCATATGAATCGGTAATATGTCGAATGATTTTAATCAGATTTGTGTGAACTTGCTGTAATGTGTATATAGTAACCACTGGCTGTACGTACATATAATCACTTGATGTGCTCTTAAAGTTATTAAGAAAAAGGTGTTTTAAGTATATCTGGATAAAAGATATTTCCCATTAAGTGTGAATGGGTACATAAAATAGTACGCTGAGGTTTAAAATAAATGAAAGGCACCAATTCTGTCCGTACCAGTTTGTATTACTACATCCAATGTTAACAACATACCTGTTATTGATGTAATATGATGTGATGTTACACGTAGAACTTTACTCGGTGAGATCTTAAAGGTCAATCATCTTGTACAGGGGTTAAAAAAGGGTTTGGCATTACCACTATAAAACAGTTTGGATAATTGTCGCAATGACTGTGGGGGGTTGGATGGCCGAATGGTTAGCATGTGCACGCTGTATCATAAAGCCTGACATTGAGCAACTGCCGTGGTTTTTAATCCCCGGTTCTACTTGACAAGGAGTAGGGTCGCCTGTCCAACCTCGTGGTTTTCTCGGGGTCCTCTGGTTTCCTCCCACTGCTAAAGTCCCCTACTCGCAAGCGAATTATTGTAATAAAATTAAACCATATGTTAGTCCCGAAATGGCCTAGTTTGTGTCAAGTGGACGTTAAACCCCATTTCTCTCTCTCTGTCTCTCTCGCAATGAATGTAAATTTGTTTACAGGTAACAGCAACAGATAGTGATCCAGCCAACACAGCAAATTCAAGAATCACATATTCTATTGTGAACGTTGATAACAATGGAGTTGGATTGTTTGTTATTGATCAAAACAATGGTCAGATACGTGCCATTGGTACTCTGGTTGGTGGTATACGTTACACTATCACTGTACGAGCTACAGATCAGGCTCCTATTAATGAACGAAGGTAGATTATCTTGTCACATTTAGTAATTGAGAAACTCAATTCTTATGGAAAAAAATCAATAGTTTAATTATATAAGCACAATGTTTCGACAAGTATCCATGTGCTTATATGATAAAGCCAGTGATTGGTTCTCATAAATATTGTGTTCAGTTTAAATAACTGATTTATAACGGTCATTGTAATAAAAGGATAGCTAATCAGAGCAATGCAAATGTTAATGATAAAAGCAGCTCTATAAAAACTTCCGCACAAGAGTATGTTTTTCTTTCCCTGGGCTCAAAATCATTAAATTTAAGTTGAGGATTGTTAATCATCTTATTTATTAAGGTGGATATATTGACTCAGTATGAAGGGCACCACAGTTGCTCAGTAACTATGCACTAAGGTTTTGGGTTCGATGCCGGTTTTGGCCAAAAAAGTCCTTCAGGATTTTTCGCATGGTTTCCCTCTTTTGCAGTGGTGAACGATGGAGGAACTGACAAGGAACAGTGTCTAGTCGTTTGAATGAGGCAATAAACCTAGATCCTATGAGGTCAAGAAACAGTTGACAGTTGGATTTGAAATAAGAGTAGGCTGTAGCACTGCTGCCCGGTTAAAAATTCCCTCAAAGCACACTGCATGGCATATCCTCGACTTCATTAGCTCAGTTGGTACATAAAATCAGAGAGTTAAACCTCTTTTCATTTCATTTGATACTGTGTTTTTATTTCTAACAGTTCAATTTTTTAGAAAAAAATTCATTTGTGCTGAAAGAGTTTCATATTAGTGTATTATTCAATATTTATTATTACAGATTCTCTCAAACAGCTGTAATAGTTGACGTCACCGCCACAGCAACGAACAATGGTCCAACTATACCGGCTGCGGTATATACTATTTTCGTTAGTGAAGGAATACCAATGTCGTCATCTGTATTCAGAGTTCCTGTAAGTAGTTCCGTGCCAACATCAGTACTTTCTTTTATCCTTTTATCAGCAACATTACAAACTTATTTTGATTCTTGAAAATATTTGATAAAGTCCCTGAAGAGATTTATTTAGCAGAACACTGGGTATGAATACTAGTTTTATCACACGCCAACATTTCAACAAGATCTGTTTTCGCATGAAAAGGACTAGCGAAATCTTGTTGAATCGTTGTGGTGTAGGCCTAGTAAACAAAATATTCTAGTATTACACAAAATCATAGATCTGGCTAGCATGGCTACTCTTTGAGTTCCTGGGGGTTGGGTAGTCTAGGGGTCTAAGACATTCCCACCTCTAATGTGGATCTATTTACAAATTGGGTAGACTCTCTCTATACATGATTCTGATTACCTGTAATAAAGTTAAAACAACAAGGATACTGCCAATTTCTATGTTTGTCAAGCTCTATATATACTGGGTATTTAACATAATCTGATTGTTGTTTTTTTTTGTATCTTTTAACAGGCTGTTGATGCTGAGAATGATCCTTTAAATTATACTATATTATCACAGTCCCCAGTACAAAATAACATACAAGGCAATTTCTTTACCGTAAATAACAGGTGATTATTTTGTATATTGCTATATTGGTATCTACAATGTTTATCATACAAGTAGATAACAGTTGCTATAGTACTATATACAATGTTTATCATTAGAAATAGTCCCATGTATCTAGATAACATCTATAATACTATATACAATCTTTATCATTAGAAGTTGCTATAATACAATATACAATATTTATCATTAGAAATAGTCCCATGTATGTGGATAAGAGATGGCTATCATTCACATCGGCCATATTACTATAAACAATGTTATCAATAAAAATAGTCCCATTTAGATCCAGATACTCAAATCTGATGTGATTTATTTTATCTTATGACAGATTCACAGAGAAAAGTATAACAATAATATGTTAACAGTAATGCAAACTCCTGAAATGATAAGTGGGAACAGGTTTACTAGTTAACAAAATATTTAACTAACAGTATTTAGTTTAACTTATTCAATTATAATTTCAGTGGTGTTGTGATAAACAGGCGTCTACTGGATCGAGAATCGATTATTAATCATACACTTGTGTTACGGGTTCAAGATGCTAATGGAAGGGTAAGAATATTGTTTCAAAAAGAATATATTATAATATGTGCATTTGAAATATAGATTGATGTTTAGTTCTTGTTGTTCTTAAGGATTTCTAATAAAACAATTTCTAGTTAAGCTGTGTAAAGAAATAATTCTGATTCCCAGACACTCCTGCATACTTTAAAAAGAGCTGCATGATATTTCTGTCCCCTGCCTTTACGAAGGATTGACTGATAACTAGAATAATTGTTTTTGTGTGATTTTGTTTTATATCTATCTTACATGTTGTGACAGGTTTTAAAATATTTTTATACTTTCAGACGGCTGAGACTACCTTACAGATAATTGTTACTGATATAAATGATAATAATCCATTCTTTACAAATGGGGCAGTGACATTTAGTGTTACAGAAAATGTAGCTAATACCAATATAGGACAAGTTTCAGTAAGTAAACACCCAGTTCCATTTACTTGATTAGTGGCGAATTTAGATGAAGAGAGACCCAAGGCTATTTCACTTAGGAGCTCTAAATGCAATTGAGCAGAGAATGTTTAAAATTACAGGGCGTGCAAGAAAAGCTTGTGAAAGTTTCAAAAGTATTATCCAACTGTGGGGAAGCACTAGCCTTCAGCCTGCCAAGCCTATAAGTATTCAAAAATATACAATTGGACGGAGGCCCTCGGCTTGCATTTGCAATGGCTGTGGGTTGATGGACTGATCGGTTTTGTTGCTGTTCTCTAGCACTTATTATAGTTAGAATGTTTTATTTTTTTATTCAAGAAATATATATCTATACTAATATTTGTGACTGTTGTTTGTTTGTTCGTCTGTCTGTTTGTTAATGGTTGGCGGCTACACTAGGGCTGCCCTGAGACTGAAATTTTGTGTATATATATAGAAATATAAGGTTTCTAGAAAGAAAAAAACTAATCCACTACGGGGATCATCAGGCATTTAATAATGGGATAGTATATATATATATTTGTTATAAAACAGTTTATATAATTTCAATTTTGATACAACTGTAATCTGATTAATATTTCAATACATAAAATAATGATGTTTTTAATTTATTGATTATAGGCTTTTGATCGTGATGAAGGAAATAATGCTCAAATTTCTTATTTCCTTAATGCCAATGGGTGAGTTATTTGTATTTCTCTTTGGGTTGCCAAATGGTTTAACGTGTGTGCATTTGATCATGCATGAGGTCTGTCATTTGTTTAATACCACTTCCAGGGTGATATCGCTTAATACCCATAGGTGGCCAAATGGTTTAACGCGTGCACGTTTTGTTTCTTATTTTCAGTGTTTATTTTTATAAATATATTGTTCAAATTTAACACAAATAATTTCCAGGTACTTGTGAAAGCATTATGCCCAATATCAATTTTGCCTGTATTTAAATTTTAAAAAAAATAACCACACAAAACTTTTTATCAAGTTAATTTCTTTTTTTGAGATATCCTAATGTCTTTATGTTTGTTATTCTCAGATATCCTAATGTCTTTATGTTTGTTATTCAAATATATCCTAATGTCTTTGAGTTTGTTATTTTCAGATATTCTTAAGTCTTTGCGTATGTTCAAATCTTAATTTATTATTTTGTCTTTAAGGTTTACGATCAACTCTCAATCCGGACAAATCGCCAACAATGTTCCATTGAATTATGAAAATGAACGAACATATTTTCTACTGGTTGAAGCAAGGGATTTGGGTAATAGTCCTCGAACAGGAACAACAACAGTCACTATTAATGTGGTGGATGTAGATGACAACATACCTTTGTTTGTTCAGACACTATATGAAGCGTCAGTGCTAGAGAATGGTCCTATAGATACACAAATATTAACAATACAGGTGAACAAGATTGATTATTATATTGAAATCATGACATAAGATTAGATAAATTTGATATTGCACAATACCACCCACTGTGAGTAGCATACAAATACATCCACATTATTACAACAAATGTAGCTAAATTATTACAACATACATAGCATACATTTTTACAATAAACATAGCATACATTTTTACAACAAACATAGCCTAGAATTAAATAAATCACATTATTACAACAACAAAAAATACTATTATATAAATCACATTATTACAACACGCATAACATACAATTACATAAATCACATTATTATGACAAAATATACAATCACATTTTTACAACAAAATGTACAATTACATAAATCACATTATTACAACAAAATATACAATAACATAAATCACATTATTACAACAAAATATACAATTATATAAATCACATTACTGCAACAAAATATAACATAAATCACATTATTACAAGAAAATATATTATAAAATTACATTATAAATCACATGATTACAACAAACAAGCCTAAGACATATAAAAATAAAACTAGTTAAAGTACAAGGCAATAGATATCATTCTAATTATATAATTTTTTTTTTCAGGCAATGGATGCAGATTCCACTCCACTTGTATCCTATACAATTGTCAACAATCAGAACTTTCCCTTTCGTATTAATAGTCAGGGACAGATATTTACTACTCAAGTTCTAGATTACGAAACAAGACAATCGTACGATTTTACTGTCACTACAACTCAAGCTCAACAGACTTCACAAACGGGAGTTCAATCTGCTACTACTGCTGTAAGAATCACTGTTATTGACGTAAATGATGCAACTCCTGTCCTGACTATTACACCCAATACCCGTGTCTATCCACAGAACCAAGCTATTGGTGAAGTCATTGCTATCGCTACAGCTACAGACAGTGATCCAGTGGTTAGTACATTATTCATTAATCAGAATCTGGTCAACAAGTGCTGCTCATCTTCTTGTTCTTGATGTTTGACATGCCATTACCTGAAGTAATGAGAGATCCAAAGGTTAATCAGCATTATCGCCAAACATGACACCCCTCAAAACAATCAACCAAAGAATGATGATAGTCTAAACCAAGTTGTGGATAGCATAACGATGATTAATTAAGCTAGGGGATTACCTCTTTGTTCATCTTAAAAGACGCTACCCCGTCCTAATTTCAATTTCCATGTATGCCAACGCCCAAAACCCTTCTGGTCACATTAAATTAAAGAGTCGTTATTACATTGTGTCTTACATTATATTCCCTGAACAAGAAAAATAAAGATATACATGAATATTCATAGAGTCTAATACAAGAAAATCATCCCCAAAAGCACTGGCACTACCCACTTTCTGGAACACAGGCATAAATTGTTTTGGGATTGTTTTTAGAAACCTTGATTGCTTATTTAATACATTGACTATATTTAATCATTTTATTTGTTGTTTGGGTGGGGATTGGGTGGCCGAATGGTTAATGCATTCACTTTGGATCATAAGGTCTGTCATTGAGTCAGGTGGTGTGGTTTCGATTGCCCGCTTGTACTTAATAAGGAGTATTGTCACCCGTCCAACCTTGTGGGTTTTCTCTAGGAGCTCTGGTTTCCTCCCACGGCTAAAGACCTCTATGTGCAAGTGAGTTATTGATCGAAAACTGAACTATATCTTAGTCCCGGTATGACCTAGATTGTGTTGGTTTGATGTTACAGTCTCTTTTCTATTTTTTGATGAACATGTTGAAGTTGTGCCCAATAGAAATATACAATAATGATAATAATATGTACAATTTCAGAATACTCCAAATAGTCGTGTTACGTATAGGATACAAAGTGTTCAACCTACTTCTGGTTCCAACTTATTCTATATTAATCCTAATGATGGTAGAATCTACTTGGGACGATCTTTTACGACAGATACTAACAGGCCATCCACATATACTGTAAGTATTCATATCATTTACTGTCAAAGGACTACTGACGACTAATAGAATTTGAATATTTTTTTTAATTAACCTTGCAGGAAAGACAATGTAACAATACAATATCAATTTGGTGTTTCTTACCTCTTTTGACAGACCGTTTGAAAATTACGTCTATTTCGTCATGGCAACATAATCATATTGAACTATTGTGCGCTGTCTGATTTTGCAATATTTTATTGAAATGAAAACAGATTTTTTTAATTTGTTGCAGAGAACTGAGACAGACTGGCTCATTGACCCCCTGGGTTTAAGAACCAAATATCTAAATATATTATGCATATAATTTCCATCAAGGGGATCATTCAGAGTGTCTTTAAAATATTTATTGTCTTTAAATATCATATAATTTAGGCCAGACAGAAAAAATATTCTGGTTATTGGTCAATTATTCCAAAATAAAATCTGATGCAGGAGGGAGGTTTTTATTTAATTGCTTTTATTTTGTCCCAGGATAATCCTCAGCCACTGAAGAATGGTCATTTCCTGATAACAATGAGTTAATTTATAATTGTTTAGTGTCATTAATGATTGTCATTGATAAGGTGTATTCTTGATAATCCGGTCCAATTTTTACCCAGAACATTTGATCGTTGATAGTGATTGTGTGGTCACTGGTGATTAATGAGGGTTTTTTTTTTAATTTTTGAAAATAAAAATTGGGTGATGAGGTTGTGGTACCTGCATGAGATCCAGGACATTGTTTCTATCTGGCTTTATTGAAACACAGTACTAAAATTTTGATTTCGAAAATTTTAATTTTTTTCTGCAGGTAACTGTTGAAGCAAGAGATGATGGTTCACCTGTTTCTCTGAGTGATATCGAACAATTGACAATAACTGTTCAGTTAAATCAAGCCAGTCCATCATTTCAACAACAGAATTATGCACTTACAATTGATGAAACTTATACACCTGGAACAAATGTTATTAGTGTACCGGCCACTGATGCTGATACTGTTGTATGTATATTTTTACTTAATATCCCTATATGAAAATGAAATGGTGTTTGATGTCCTTTGTTTGTGGGAGGACTATAATAAAGTAATTTGACTGAAATTTTCAATATATTCATTTTTTATTATTTATTTTTGAACTATTATAGCATGAGTGACCAGCTCTTTATCTAAATCTTGCATAAGGTTTTCAATATTATTATAGCATTTTGAACCAAAATTAATATTGTAGTTTAGACATTGATTTCATTCAAATTCTATCATACCACTGAAATTTAAGAATTAAGAATAAAAGACCTTCTTATTTGTGGATATATTTGTTTTACATCATTCATATACATGTATTTCTAATACTTATGTTTTTAAATATATTTATTCAAATTTTTTTTTAACATAGGGTAATTTTGGTAGTATCACCTATGATGTGGTTGGAGAAGGATTTGGGCCTGTTTTCTTTGACTTTAGATCACCATCTGACAGTCAAATTGTTGTTCGTGATACACTCACAAAGGACACTTCTGAATCTTATAATGTAAGTTACCTGACTCTTAGAATTTTTTTTAAATTGGCTAAAATTGATCTTGTTTCCACTAAGGACCACTTTACTTTTATTAACTTTACCTTTTAAAGGGGCTTTTAGAATATTGAATTCAAATAAAATCAAAGAATATATTGCACTGTTGGTGTAAATATACACCCAGTTAAGTACATGCTATTTGACAAATTGATATTTAATGTAGTATGATACGAATTTGAGATTTAGATCAAATTATTTTTATTGCCTGCTTCCAAGCTTTTGTGCTTGTTTATGCAGCATTTGTCGGATGTTTCAGCCACACTGGTTAAATACACTGAGGTATTAACTGGTTCTAATGCATCCTAAATAGACTTAGGGTTATAAACCTGTTACTAAACCTTGCACATGTTAGGATTTAGGGTTAAAAACCCCCGTTACTGAACCATGCACATGGTTAGAGTTAGGGTTAAAAACCTGTTACTGAACCTTGGACATGGTTAGAGTTAGGGTTAAAAACCTGTTACTGAAAAGTCTTCCATTCCCTTTATACATGCACACAAAGAAATAAAACCTCAATACTGTTTGACAATGTCATTTATTTTCAGCTTCTTGTTACGGCCACAGATGGAGGAGGTCTATCCACCACAGCTACAGTATCTATTAGAGTCAACAGGAATAGATTCTCACCAGTTTTTGTGGGTAGTCTAACCCAGGCTACAACCATAGCAGAAAACTATCCTTTAGGACAGTCTGTATTGCAAGTTTCAGCACAGGATCAGGATTTAATTGTAAGTCAATTAGTTTTTTGAGCTCTTAAAGCATTATTTGTAAAGACCATCAATTTCTAAATGAAATGAAATGGAATTTAATGTTTCGCAGTTGTGCACAAAATGGGCTAATGAAGAGGGAATTTTCCATGAATTCCAGCTGTTACAGTTTCTTTTATGTAGCATGGGTGCCAATTCGTACACGCATTCAAATAACTCGATACTTGTTCCTTCCCAGGCCCCTTCGTCCTGCACTACTTACAAGGGGAACCCAATGTGATTAAAACACAGGTCCTATTTCGTTTCGTTTTTTATAGTTCAAAATTTCGTTTTACTTGTCTTTACTACACTAGGTTCTGTAAGAGTTGTTATATAACCCGTGTTCTGGATGATTTGATGAATTAGCTAATGAAACGGTCTGTTACGGCTATTTTTTGGTGTGAGGTGCGCGGAACCCATGAGAAACATCAATGGTGATTGGTTAATTGAATGTCAGACGTTATAGAGTCAAAAGCCACTCATATGACCTCTGACGCGACCTTCCACTAAAACCGGTCAGATCTTCATGTAGTAGAGGCCATCAAAAGTATAAAAAAATGAAATGAAATATGGATCTGTATTTTAATTAGATTGAGGCGAACCCAGTCTGGAAATTTCCAAGGCCCTTTCTCTATCAACTTTGTAATTGAACCCACTACTTCCTGGTTAGTGAGCTAAAACCATATTCACTGAATCACCATCATTTTTCTAGAATAGTTCAAGTATGTCACGTTTCATGTCGATCGTAGTTGAAATGAACCACTATGGTTCGCAGAAAATTTTAAATTTTATTTATGGATTGTGATTTTTTTGATTTCATTTAAGGATTGTGATTTTTTTTTACCAAGATTAATAAGAATGTGAATCTCAAAGTACTATTTTTTTTTTCAGTCTCCATATAACCGGGTTTCCTATCTTATTATTGGAACTAGTCAAGCGTCAGAATATTTCACTGTATCTGATTCTGGTGTTATTAGTCTTATCAAATCACCAGCTGGCACAGGCATTGCAAGTTTTCAGGTAATTTCCGTTTCTTTAATTTACTGTATAATGAATGAATGTAATTGAGTTTAACGTCACACTTTTCTGCACCTACCGGGCTAAGTATTCTATGGTGAGGGGAATTTTTCTCGGACAGACATTGAATTCTGACTCTCAAGGCCTCTTTTACATTCACACCAATGTGGATGCAGATCCTTATTCAATTTAGTCAACATTCAATTTTCCTTTTGGATAAGCTGCTGTTTAGACATAGCTGCTGTGTGGGCGTGGCTATCTTTTCAATATCTATAATACTCTAATGTCTATATACTATAATGTCATCACTATATACTCTAATGTTATCCCTTTATATGCTGTAATTTTATCACTAAATACCCCAATGTTACCCTATATACTCTAATGTTATCACTATATAATGTTATCATTATATATCCTAATGCTATCCCTATATACTCTGATGTTATCCCTATATACTCTAATGCTATCACTATATACACTAATGTTATCACTATATACTCTAATGTTATCCCTATATACTCTAATATTATCACTATATACACTAATGCTATCCCTATATACTCTAATGCTATACCTATATACTCTAAATGTTATCCCTATATACTCTAATGCTATCACTATACACACTAATGTTATCACTATATACTCTAATGTTATCCCTATGTATACTCTAATATTATCACTATATACACTAATGCTATCCCTATATACTCTAATGCTATCCCTATATACTCTAAATGTTATCCCTATATACTCTAATGCTATCACTATACACACTAATGTTATCACTATATACTCTAATGTTATCCCTATGTATACTCTAATATTATCACTATATACACTAATGTTATCACTATGTAACCCCCCACCCCCCCACCCGTAAATGCTAAATTTATTATATATTTGTTTCTATGTTTATACAGGTAACTGTACGGGCTCAAGATGGTGTTCCAGCTAATTCACAGATACTTAGAAGATTCTCTGAAAACAACGCAGTGCTGACTGTTAATATATTAAGAAATAGATTTCCACCTATCTTCTTTAGTCAGTTGTATACTGCAGAAATCAATGAAAATGTTCAAACTGGTACTTCAGTGGTTAGAGTTAATGCTACAGATGATGATGTAAGAAATACAGATTAATATTTATTGAACCAGAAGGTGTGGGGGGGGGGGTAATCACGTGGTTTTGCAGGTGAAAAGTGGTCGTTTCGATTCCCCGCTTGTACGTTAGTAGGGTCACCTGTCCAACCTCGTGGGTTTTCTCGGGGTCCTCTGTTTTCCTTCCCACTGCAAGAAAATTATTGCAATAAAATTGAACCATATGTTAGTCTGTGCCTCCTTCAAAAACTATATCAGATATATTTTGATTGCACAGATTAAATTTAGAGATAAATATATTGTCTATAAACAGCATTAATTTTGTAATTGAAGACATTACGATACAGACATGAAATATAGACATATTTGATATGCTTTTGGATTTTGTCTATTAAATCAGATTCCCTCCCACTGGCATTGCTAATATAAAGACCTCTACGAGAAAGTAAATTATTGAAATAAAACTGAACCACATGTTAATATCAAAATGACCAAATTTGTGTCGAGTGGACATTAAACGCTCTCTCTTTTTGTCTATTAAAAATACTATGTGGATGACATTAAAATATTATTGCATATTGACCATCCAAGTCATTAAAACCCATGGCAGGTGTAAAAAATCCCTTTTTCAGCTGGAATTCAGTCTAAGAGTAGGCTGTAGGTAGCTGTCCCAGCAAAATTCCCTCATAGCACATTGTATGGCGTATGCCCAGATGAAGCAGAACAGTAGGAAGTAAAACCCCATTTCATTTCATTCATTCATTTTTTTACATGTAACATAAAGTACGCTTTTCTTTTCAGAGTAATTTCAATCAAATCATATACCAGATTATCGGTGATGAAACAGCTCCAAGTAAATTTAGCATTGACTCTTCAAGTGGGTTGATATCAACATCTGCCAGCCTTTTATCAGAGAATTTGGATAGATATCAGGTAATTATTACAGTATTTTGATCTCTCTGAGAGAGACAGTGACAGTGACCCCCCCCCCCCCCTAAATAACAGTGTAAAATATTCCTTTATTTTTCAATTTTATGAAACATGTAAATATGACCTATTTCTTGGTTCGGGTGATGTTGCTGATAAAATTGAATGTTTTATTCGGGTCCAGATATGGGCCACAAATTACCGTTGACACCATGATTTTTCAAAAAATTTTGGAGGATGATCCCCAGGCTAGCAAGCAAGCCAGCACGTAGACTCTGAGCCACTGCAGCTCCGTGATTTTGTGAACTACAAGATTTAGAGTAGAGGAAATCATGACATTAGAAATTACATTTTTTTCTAGTGATCACGGTGTGTAGAAGAAATGGATATAGTCTTTTTTTGCCATAGTCAGAAATAAATATTTATTAATAGAACAGGGACAAATCATTTGCTTATGATGTAAATGTATTTTGTAGGTTCGTGTAACAGCTCAAGATAATGGTTCTCCAGCACGTGTAGGAACGGCTCTTGCCATTATCACTATACGCAGAAACTTTTTTCCACCAGTTTGGGTAACACGTACTCCTGCTAATACATGGAGTGGTAATATATTAGAGAGTGGTACATTGGGTGTTCCTATCCTGTCAGTTGCTGCAACAGATGCTGATACTAAGGTGAATATTGTTATTTACAATTCCCTGCTCACAATACTCTTATATGAAAGATCAAGGCCGGACATAAGGCACAGTCACAGACTTTGTCAAGTACCATTTATCACGCAATGTCAGACACAAATTATCATACAACATATAAATTATAATATAAATGTTCTGTGATAATTGGTGTCTGACAAAGTCTATGACCGGTGCCTTATTTCCAGGCCTGTGAAAGATATGTCAAAAGGATTCCAATGATGAAAAACGACTGTGAAAGAATATGTCTGTACATAAAAAAAAAGAATATGTGTTTAGAATCAAAGATTTCAGAAAATATTCAAAACTTTATGTTTTATTTGCAGGCACCAAATAATGAAGTATTTTATCGTTTAACTGGAAATACAAAAGCGGTGGAATTTTTTCAAGTTGGTTTAAGAAGTGGTGAAATAAGTGTACGCAAGGCTTTGACACTTGACACTGATAATACACCACTTTATACAGTAAGTTTGATTTCTTCTTAATGGCATGGAAGGTTGAGCGGCATAACACGCTTTTAGATCATAAAGTCTTATCATTGACTGTATGGTTTTGATCCTAATTTCAAGCTTGTACATGACAAGGGGTGGGTTTGCGTGTCTAACCCTGTGACTTTTTCCGGTTTTCACCCACTGCTAAAGACCCACTATGCTCAAGCGAATTGTTGAAATAAGATATTAGTCTCGAAATGACCTAGATTGTGTCAAGAGGATGTTAAACCCTACCTTTCTCTCTCTTGTCAGAGGTAATGCCACCAGAACTTGCCCAGTCATTTAGATGTGATGAATAGGCCAGTGTAGTGTTTACATAGTGAAACAAAAGAGGCCTTGGGTTTGCTCCCAGGGTTGGTCGAGAAAATTCCTCAGGATTTTCTGGCCTGGTTTCCTCTTGTCTAGACAGTGTCTAGTCATTTGAATGGGACGGTAAATCAAGAACCCTTCACAGTTGTAATTTGAATAAGAGTACGCCGTATTCAATATTCCTTTCATAGAACAAAGTATGTCATATGCCTATCTTCATTATCCCAGTTGGTGCATAGTGTATAATATGGCTTACTGTATTTCAACACCTCCCGCATGCTCCTAAATTAAGGTTTGAAAACCCCACTTTTTAAAACAGGTGGCTTTCAAAATAGCATCTGTTTACATTTAACAATGTTATGAAGGGGTAAACAATGGATATTATTTGAACGTGTTCTTATAACGAAGTTTAAACAGTCAAATGTTCTAAATTAATAGGGGGGTTGGATGGCCGAATGGTTAGCACGTGCGTGCTGTATCATAAAGCCTGTCGTGAGTCAACTGGCATGGTTTCGAATCCCTGGTTGTACGTGACAAGGAGTAGGGTCGCCTGTCCAACTTCGTGAGTTTTCTCCGGGTCCTCCGGTTTCCTCCCACTGCTAAAGACCCCTACACGCAAGCGAATTATTGAAATAAAATTAAACCATATGTTAGTCCCGAAATGACCTAGTTTGTGTTGAGTGGACGTTAAACCCCATTTCTCTCTCTCTCTCTCTCTAAATTAATATGCACATGTAACAATTAGTATGATTGAAGTTATAGTAATTCATTCTGACTGCCGTTGGTTTATTGCGTCTTTCACAGTAGGACGTTAAACCCCATTTCATTTCATTTCATTTCATTTATTGCGTCTTTCACGTATATTCTATATTATTTTATAGTTGGAACTTCAAGCTTATGATGGTGGGGCTACATCGAGAACATCAACAGTGTCGGCTACAGTATTTATTACTGTTATACAGAATAGCAATGCTCCTGTTATTACCACAAGTCCATGTCAGGCAGAAATACGACAAGACTTGAATGTTGGTGATCCTGTTCTAACTGTTTCTGCTTTTGATTTAGATCAACAAAATGTAAGATTTGTAGTTTTATTTTAATTTTAGTAGATTACAATCATTGGTTAATATTTTTGTTTTTATGTTACTTAAGTAACGATACATCATTTGCTTTTTTTGCTAAAATATCAAATTTCTCACATCATAATCCACGCTAATATTTACCCAGATTGATTATTTAACATTTAATTATGAAAACTAAATCAAAATACCAATGATACCCTCCCAATTTGATTTAAAAAGGAGGCGGGTTGGATACATAGCGAACAGCATAGATCGATGAAATTTCAATTCGACATAACTTTGTAACATTAAACCCCATTGCAAAATTATGCTAAATTTGTTCGTTTTTGTTTTTCAGTCAGCTGGTATTCGCTATAATCTTGTTAATGGTGGAACTGGCTTTAATTTCTTTCAAATTCCTGATGCAACCTCTGGTCGTGTTACATTAAGCAGAAGTATTCAGTTTGAACAAGCTACAGTGTATACGGTAAAAAATATGTTTGAATATTTATTAGTTAGAAATTTCCATAGAGGTAATTCATTACAATTAACCATTTAAAATCCCTGCTCAACAGAAGTACAAACAGATCTATATTTCATTTCGTTTTTTTTATACTTTCGATGGTCACACTACATGAAGGTCTGACAGGTTGTACTCGGAGGTCGTGTCAAGGGTCGTACAAGTGGCTTTTGAACCTTTGACATCAGACATTGGTTAATCAATCAACTTTGACGTTTCTAACAACTCTTCCAGATCCTAGTGTAGTAAAGACAAGTAAAACGAAATTTTGAACTATACAAAACGAAACGAAATAGGATCTGTGATTTAATGAGATTGCCATTTAAAATCCCTGCTCAACAGAAATACAGACTATTCTTGTCTACTCTCTTCAGCACCCCCTCTGAAAGAATTTCTATATAATTAAGCCATGTGCATGTGGTAGTTACATTTAGGGTGCTGATTCAATAATATTGAAAAATTGTATTTATTTTGATCTTTGGTCATTGGATATTATTTTTTACAATTTGCAATCCAGGGCCCTGTTTCACGAAATTTTAACTAAAGATAAAATCCAAATTTTAGTAGATACTTCAATTTTGATTGGCCAAGCACTAAAATCAATCTAATATTATCCAATCAAATTACTAAAATTTGGATTTAATCTTTGTTAAAATTTCGTGAAACAGCTAGGCCCCTGACCATAAAAAATAATAATCGCATGTTATTCTCAAAATGGCTGAAGTATTGTGTTGACTAGACGTTAAATTCCAGTCTTATCCTATGTCCTTGACCATGAAAATTTGAACGTCCCCATTACAAATTTTGAGGGTGTGTGTATATTTGTTGCCTAGCAAGGGTTTATCTTGATGTCCGATTGGGTATATTCCTGATCGGATGTTTGCCAACTCGCATAGGACATATCTGGCATATACAGGCGAAACAGCATCCATGGTATACATGTATGTTTATGTCTATGTATAATTTCTATATTACAGATACTGGTACAAGCGTCCGATTCAGGAAGCCCACCTTTAACTGACGTCGGTCTTTGTACTATAACTGTTAATCGTAATTTTAACGCACCTGTATTTAATCCTCAAGTGTATAATGTTACTATCAGTGAGAATCAGATTTTAGGTGATTCCATTGCACGAGTTACAGCCACAGATATCGACCGCGTGGTAAGTATATTTACTTCTTTTATGGTAATCTACTTTCATTTTACAGCTTCAATGCCAGTCATTTCAAATTGACACTTGTTTTGTTATATATACTATATCCTCAGAAGCTGCTTCTGTAATGGCCATGGTGGCTCAGTGAGTAAGATGCTGGATGAGAGGAAAAACCGAGGCCCTGTATATACATTAGTGTACTCTTAAAAGAACCATTGACAGTTGAAATTCAAAATAGGCCGTAGTGCTGCTGTCTGTGCAAAATTCCCCTCATAGCATGCTGTATGGCTTATGCCTATCTTCATAGGCTAGTCAGTGAAGAAAACTAGAATGTTAAACCCCATTTCTCATGGTCATTTATTGGGCAATCCTAGACTATACAAATTATACATCATTGCTGCCAGATTTATTATAGCACTAGCAGGATATCCGGCTTCGCTCGGGGGTCATAACTCCAAAACCGGAAGTGGTAGACTAACGCCACCTGGCCTATGTTACTCCCCGGTCCGAGCTACCCCTATACCCCAAATTTCAGACTCGGGGCAGACCTAGTGTAGCCGCCAACCCCGAACAGACCGGCTTCGCTCGGGGGTCATAACTCCGAAACTGGAAGTGGTAGACTAACGCCACCTGGCATATGTTACTCCCCGGTCCGAGCTACCCCTGTACCCCAAATTTCAGACTCGGTGCAGACCTAGTGTAGCCACCAACCCCGAACAGACAGACAGACAGACAGACAGACAGACAGACAGACGACAGTCACAAATATATATATAGATGTGGTGTTATAATGTACCATTTTATGATGTGTTTTCATTTATAAAAATAAAATGTATTGAAGTTTAACTAATTTTTCAGTCACCCAATAATGTTGTTAGATATACAGCTGTAGGGAATGATAGAGCTCTTCAGTATTTTGCTGTTAATTCTGTAACTGGTCAGGTCTCAGTTAAACGGCAACTTACACAAGATGTTTCATCGGGAAATTTACAATATACGGTAAGTAGAATTCATTTTTTCACAGACATTTTAAAAATACTTTCGAAAGAATGAGAGCTGACAAGAATTTATTGCAGCATGAAATATAGTAAATTAATGTGAAATATAGTAAATTTAAATGTGTATAGTAAAGTACAATAAATTAATATTTTGCGAAAAATAGTAAATTAATTTAATGGGAAAGATGACTTATTGATATAAATGTGCTTTTATCTAGATTAAGGAATGTCCAAATTTAATTTTGAAATAAAGAAATACTTGTGAGCATGAAATGAAGATGTAAAAATAGCAATGGAATGGGAAAAAAATTGCAAAGGAATGTGGAAAAAATAGTAAAGGAATGTGATAATAAAAAATCTAATTGGATTTGAAAAGTCATGTGGCGGAATTAACTTTCACTTAAACCTGTCTCTTAGCTCATTTGTTACTTTATTCAAAGATTTTAGGTGCAGGATAGAGGGCCTGGCAAGGGACAACGTATACAAATTGATGTGCACATAAAAGATCCATTGTCAGTTGGAATTTGATATTAGAGTAGGTCATAGCGCCACTATCTGGGCAAGATTTCCCTTATAGCACACTGTATGACGTATGCCTGTCTTCATTAGCCCATTGTTGCAGATCAGTAGGACATTAAAAACTATTTCATTTCATTTCATTTTCATTATCCAAGTCGGAGAAGAATGGTAGGACGTTAATCCCCATTTCATTTTAGTTCAATTTTGTTTCAGCTGTCAGTACAAGCCAGAGATCTAGGGGTGCCAAGTCCCATGCAATCTGTTCAGTCAGCCATTGTTAATATTCAAGTGTATCGTAACAGTTTTGCTCCACGATTTACCAATACACCTTATAACAAAGATATTTCACAAAACACAGGAGTTTCCTCAGTTTTTCAAGTTTCTGCGGTTGATGATGATCCAAGGGTAAGTTTTAAAAGTTTTCTTTAGCAAATACTATTACTATAACAAAGGGTGGTAGTGGTGGTGAGGGATGAACAAGTGATCTAATGTGTGCACTTTAGATCATAAGATCTGTCATTGAGTCACATAGTGTTGTTTCGATTCAAGGGTAAGTTATAAAATCTTTCTACAATAGATTTTACTGCTATAACAAAGGGGCGGGAAAGCTTGTCTCAAGGGGATGTTAAAGACCCCTTTGCACAAGCGAAATATTGAATAAAATTGTAACATACGTTATTTCCGGATTGTTAGTTTGCTTTAATTTGTTTCATGTTATAGTGTTTATTACTTATATCGATTAGACTACTAAATACCGCTCACAGAAGAAATAATTAGTAATATGTTTAATTTCAGTCACCCTATAATGTGGTTCGATTCTCTATTGCTGGTAATGTAGACAGTGGACCGTTTAGTATCAATGATGTATCTGGAGAAATCAGGCTAACCAGCAGTATTGCTAATCAGGCCAACACCGTCTTTAGGGTAAGTTTATACTTGTATGTTTATTTATAATTGATTATTTGGTTTAAACAGTATTAATTTGAAGATATTGTAAAAGCATGAAAAATAGGATACTAAAACAAGTGAAGGAGGCTTATTCAAAGAGACTTATGTTAATTTGCTTCCTTGTGACTAGGGTGTATAATATATGTACAATTCTAAGTAATAAGCTTATATATGATAGAGACAAAACATTATTATAGTATTTTAATTATGGTATAAGTATTTAACAGTATGTAAGTAAAATTATGTATTTGTTTTCTGGTTTATTTATTTATTTGTAATATTGATTGAAACCAGTGATTTTCTATTGCCAACGTACTGAATTAGATTTCATTATATTGATTCATCTATTATTGCCAACCAATTTATTACCCTACCTGCCCTAATGTGAGGTCGAGTGTTCGATCCCTGCATTGGCCGAGAAAGTTCATCAGGATTTTCTGACATGGTTTCCCCTTGTCAGTGGTACAGAACGGAGGGCCTGATAAGGACAGGTGTCTAGTCCTTCAGATGAGACGAAAAACAATTGGTCCTGTGTATACATTGGAATGCACGTAAAAGATGCCTTGGCAGTTGGAATTCGATATAAGAGTAGACAATAGTGCCGCTTCCTGTTCAAAATTTCCCTCATAGCACACTGTATGGTGTATGCCCGTCTTCATTAGCCCAGTATAGGAGCAGAACAGTAGGATGTTAAACACCATTTCATTTCATGTCCCAATGTCTCATAAATTGTACAAGACATCTTAATGGAACTATGTACCCATATTGGGGGGGGGGCAGCTGAATGGTTTAATGCATGCACTTTAGATCATAAGGGTTATCATTGAGTCAAGTGTACGTGACAAGGAATATGATCGCTTGTACAACCTTGTGGGTTTTCTCTGGGTCCTCCAGTTTCCTCCCACTGCTAAAGATTCATACACACAAATGAATTATTGTCATAAAATTGAATGATATATACGTTAGTCACGAAATGACATAGTTTATATTGAATGGACGTTAAACGCCATCTCTCTCTCTCTCTCTCTCTCTCTCTCTCTCTCTTGTACACATATCATACTCTTGAGTATCCTTTGCTAATTAGAAATAACTTGGATTTAAACAATTTTGTGTTTGATGTAGAGCAGGGGGATGTTATTGATTAAGTCTTGATGTATTGGAAATTTATTGAAATATTTAATGTTATTATTATTTTATCTAAAGTTATTGGTAGAGGCTAGAGACCAAGGTCAACCATCAAGAAGTAGTTTTGCATTAGTTACATTCACTGTGGATAGAAATATATTTGCTCCAGTATGGTCAGTACCAAATGTTAATGCTAACTATCGATTAAGCACAACGGTTCCTGAAGATGTACCATTTGGTCAAGTTCTAACAACTGTGACTGCTAACGATGAAGATATAGTGGTAAGTAATTTGGGTTGTTATCTGTTCCCCAATCCCTGTTTAGACTTTCCCTCATCTTCGTTAGCCTGGATGGAGCAGAAAAGTATGATGTTAAACCTCATTTCAATTCGTTTAAGCTTTACTTCAATAGAGATAGGGGGGGTGGATGGCTGAATGGTTAGCGTGTGCGCGTTGTATCATAAGGTCTGTCATTAAGTCAACAGGCGTGGTTTCTATTCCCCGGTTGTATGTGGCAAGGAGTGGAGTCGCCTGTCCAACCTCATGGGTTTTCTCCAGGTCCTCCAGTTTCCCCCCCACTGCTAAAGACCCCTATGCGCAAGTGAAACCATATGTTAGTCCCGAAATGACTTAGTTTGTGTCGAGTGGATGTTTATCTCTTGATATTTCTGTTGTAAACTTTAAATAGAGATCTTCGTCTATAATTTGGGTGATGGAGTGGTCCAAGTCTTGTGCTTTAGATCATGTGGCATGAACTTGATCCCAAACTGGTATGTGACAAGAAGTAGGGTCTCATGCCCAACCTTGTTGGTTTTCCTCTGGAGTTGACCTCGAACAAAAAAGCAAACAGACAAATATATATATACTGTAATTCAGAACTGGAGGGGCTGGGGGGGAGGGGGGGTATTAGTTGATAGCTTTTTTATACGCCCACATTTTCATGTGGACATATATTGTCGTCGCCCCTGTCCGTCCGTCCGTCCGTCCGTCCACAATTGTTTGTGAACAGTCTACAGGTCACAATTTTTATCCGATTTCAATGAAACTTGAAATATAGGTTTATCACCCTAAGATCTCGGTTCCTTTCGATATTGGCATCTATCGGACCGTAACTTCCTGAATTATGGCCCCTGATTGTACGTAAAAACGCGTTGTTTGGCTTGTGGACCCTATAGAGGTCATAATTTTTATCCGATTTAAAAAAACGTATTATTATTAAACCCTAAGGATGGTTGAGTTCGAATTTCGTGAAAATCGGCCCAAAACTGACAGACAAAATGGCCGCCCCTCGTTCTCAAATTGCGTAAAAATATGGTATATCAAGGTTGTGGACCCTATAGAGATCACAATTTTTATCCGATTTTGTTGAAACTTGAAATGTAAGTTTATAACTCAAAGATCTTGGTTCCTTTCGATATTTGCGCATATCGAATTGTAATTTCCTGAATTATGGCCCTTGATTGTAGGAAAAATCACTTTCGTTTTAGCTTGTTTTCTATCCATCTCTTGAAAATGTGGGCGTATCCTGCCTGGCAGCCGCTGGTTCGCCCTAGTCGGGTCTCCGTCTTATACTCCAAATAGATTTATGTGAAGGTAAAATCTGACATCCCCGATAAGAAACCCATTCTCAGTAACTGTCGCTCTATGATATCAAGTGACATCGACTGCCAAATATCAACACTCGCATGGCAAGGTCAGATTACTTATGCTATACCAATCTTAATGCATTTCTAGATACCGGTATATAAAGTTTCTTTAATTTTTATTTTTAAACATAACCTTATTCAGAAATTAATCATAAATGCTAAAAAATCCCAACAAAAGAGAATCTTTTATCAGACATTGTTCAATTGGAAATTTTCACTTTGCCATTTCTCGTTTCATGCAAGATTCTACTTTAATGTTTAGCTAAATTAAAGTAGAATATATCATCCAAAATCTTCGATATTGAAAACATGAATTATTTGTCAGTTTAAATCAACATTAGTATTGTGATCTAACCGGGAAAAGATGGGCTTCTGATATCCAATATTTAAGACAAAATAAACATTTTACCATTGGTACACAAATTGTGTACCATAATGTGTTTCAGCACCATTTGTAACAAGGGACTCCAAGAACGAGGCTAGACATATTCCAAAAGTCTTGTCAAACGGTGACACCATGTTCTTTTCTGGAGAGCTTGCGCAATAAATACTATCGGTGTAGACTGGAATAACCAGACGCTAAAGATTGCCATTCGATTGCGACTTCTGGCGTATTTCGCCGAACATAACTGATTAGTAATTACAGTAAAAACAGAAACGATTGAATGTAAATCAGTTTATATACATTCATATTACATTATCATCCAGGCTGGTCTTTCGGTTAAACGGTTAAATCCAGTAAAATAGAGTACATGTCTGACATTAATTGTGACAAACTTCCCAGATGAGCGAAAAAGTACTTTAAAATGTTAAAATGATATTAAACCAGTGTTGAATTCAGGTTGTGTTGGCATACCTTTTATCTTTTATAAAGTAGTGAAGCTTTACGGCTTTGCTGATATTTTTGGATATGTATATTATAGATTTTTGTTAAATTATAATTTCTTTTAACAGGCACCATATAATGAAGTTACCTATTCAATAGTTGGTGGCAATAATGATGGCTACTTCCAAATTAATAATAATGGTCAAATAAGAATTCAAAGATCTTTATTATCAGCTCCATTAACAACTTATACTGTAAGTACTGACATTAATAGTAAAATGCTCCCCACTGTAATTTAGCTGAAGTTACACGTGATAGATTTTTAATTTCAGGTGTTTTAACTTTTTGTTCTTCATAAATGTCTGAATATTTTGATGTGTTACAAAAATATTTGAAAGGATTCATTATTTAAAGCATCATTTGTAGAAATGGAAATAGGGATATTTTTTCATTGTAATATCTAAGAACTGTTAATAACATGAATGATTCTTCCCATGGTTATTTCAAAGAAATCTTTGAATTTTTGACAGACAGACAATTTTTGTGTTATAGAATGTTACATTATGTTAAGTTACAGAATGTTACATTATGTTAAGTAATTACAGAATGTTCTATTACATTATGTTGTGCTACAGAATGTTACATAATGTTGTGTTACAGAATGTTACATTATGTTGTGTTACAGAATGTTACATTATGTTGTGTTACTTACAGACTAAACAGCATATCGAAATTAATGTGACTGGTATTATTTATTGCAGTTATTGATTGCTCTCAGAGGGGCATGCTCTTTAGATTATAAGGACTGTCATTGAGTCAGTTAGCATGATTTCGATCCCACACATTTGTACGTGACATGGAGTAGGGTAACCTGCCCAACCCATGTTTTTTCTCTGGTTCTTCTGGTTTCCTCACATTGCTAAAGACACATATGCTGCATGCATGTGCAATTGAATTATTTGAATAAAATTGCAGCATATGTTAGTGCCAAAAATGACCTATTTTATATTGAGCTGATGTTAAACCCCATTTCTCTCTCTCTCTTTCTTGATTCAACTTTGATTTGTGTTAATGTCTATTTATTAATTCTTACTAATAGTAACTGCAGGAGTACCCTCACCACATGTAAACAATTACACAAGACAAACCTAATACACATACATAAACAACCAACAATTATCAAATCATGTGGATGGATCCCAGGGGCTAAGTGAGAGATACCCAATGATAAGCTTTGCTTCATGGTTTTGATTTTTTGCGCCCCTCGCAAATGGCAAAAAATCATGCGGTGTCAATGCGTTTTTCAACATTATAATCATTATCATAATGCTCAACCAGTGTCAAACAAATACCGTGGGTCAGATATTCTACAAATCGACTCTAGCATGTTCCACACAGCCCAATACTATGCTTCTTGGCAGCACTGGGAGCCCTCCCCCCTCCCACACACACATATAAATATTGATTTTTGGGGCCCAGACGGAATCTTGTTCCTCATGCAAAATCATGGGTCACCACGCCCCTGATGGATCCATGGACCAGCTGTAAGTGTCCACTGTCTTGTACAGTCCCTGGTAAATGATTATTAAATATTATTACTTTTACTTGTTTCAGTTGACTATCAGTGCTGCAGATAGAGGAATCACACCCAAATCGGCTATAACAAATGTTGAAGTTACTGTCTTCATATTACGTAACCAGAATACTCCATATTTTGTAAATCAGCCTTACTCAAGTTCCGTGTCAGAGAGTCAAGGTGTGGGCTCTGAAGTTTTTCAGTGTTCTGGTCGAGATAATGATTTAAATGTAAGTTTTTTTTATTTAGTAACTAAACATATATAATTTCAAAGTATTGATTTCATATTGTACATGTGAATATTGTGTTTCTAGAATATATGATTATGTTTATATTTATTTAATAGAACACTACTTGAAGTCCAAAGTTACCACCTTTCTAAACACCATATATGTTGTCTTATTGCACTTGGGGTGTGTGTGTGTTTGGGTGGCAAAATGGTTAATGCGTTCACATTGCATCAAAGTCTGTCATTGATTCAAGTGGCGTGATTTCGATTCCCCACTTGTACATGACAAGGAGTAGGGTCGCCTGTCCAACCTCGTGGGTTTACTCCCAATGCTAAAGATCCCTATGCGCAAGCGAATTATTGAAATAAAAAATTGAACCGTATGTTAGTCCTGAAATGACCTAGAATGTGTCGAGTGGATGTTAAACCCTAATTTCTCTCTCCATCTTTTATTGCAAAAGGTGTTACTCCCAAAATGACCTAGAATGTATCGAGTGGATGTTAAACCCTAATTTCTCTCTCTCTCTTCTTAATGCAAATGGGATTTGACACTCCAACAGTATGGGCACTAGATTCTCCATCAGAATATTCTTGGTGTTAAAATCTCAACATGGGCCAAGAAGAATTTTCAGGGCATTAAAAGTATTATATTTGCACAGTCGACAAAATGCCTAGCTCACACAATGTAAATAGTGGCATGCACATAAAAGAGCCTGCAAAAGACTAAGCAGAAATGTAACTATCTCGGCAAAATTCTCCACCATCACCCTTTCATATATGTAACCATAGAAATAATGATCTCTATGAGATAATCTCAAAATGGTTGAAGCAACGTGACAATAAACACCATTCCATGCAATTATAAAGTATAATGAAGTTTTTGATATTTCATAGTTTTTTTTGTTTTGATTTTAAAGGCACCATACAATCAGTTGAATTATGTAATCATTGGAGATGATATATCGCCAGCTTATTTCCAGATTGACAATAATTGTCGTATTACATTACAACAATCTCTAGCAGGTGTAGCCACTAATACATTCTATGTAAGTATTACAGTAAATATGTAATGGGGGTGGTATGGTCTAACACTTGCTCTTTAGATCATAAAGTCTGTCATTGGTTTGTGTTGGGTGGTCATTAAACGCCATTTCTTCTCTGTCTGATAAAAAACATGGGTATATAGTATTGTATGTGTGAATTGAACAGTTGTAGAAAAGAACCTTGCTGCTGAATTTTATCCATACCAAATTAACACGATAAAGTGTTAGAATATGACGCATTTGTGTGCACATAAAAGAACCATTAACAGTTGGAATTCGAAATAAGAGTAGACTGTAATGCCGCTGTCTTTGCAAAATTTCCCTTGTAGTGCACTGCATGGCATATGCTCATCTTCATTATCCCAGTCTTGCAGAAAAATAGGATGGTACACCTCATTTCATTTCATTTCTTACAATGTTTGATGGACTTGAATGCAATTAGAATTAATTTTTGTTTTAGAAATTAGGATTTTATTCATTTTTTATTTTAGATTCGTGTAAGAGCTTTTGATGGTGGAAATCCAAGTAAGAGCAATACATCTGTTGTTACAATAACGGTTGATAGGAACTTGAACTCTCCAGTTATCGCCCCAACGTTTTACCAAAGAACTATTCCTGATTCGCAACAACAAGGTGCACAGATCATCCGTATCAGTGCAACAGATAGAGATACAACTGTAAGTGGCATATATATATCATCACTAACCTTTCTTTTAAAGATGCATTTGGTAAGATTTAGATAAAGAGCTGGACATTCTTAGTATAATAGTTAAAAAATACATAATGAAAAATTGCTTTATTCTGAGCGAAGTTATGACTGTTTGAAGTTATAGCATAGATGGTCCATTATCGTACTTGGCAACTGTAATTGACAACCGAGACTTAGGCACGAATGTCCATTTTATTAATAAATTTTTAAATCTCGTGGATGTTTGAATCCATTCAAATCTCAGCCATCCAATTGTCTATAGAGTTGATTATAGGCTTGTCATGTTGATAAATGTCAAATGATAATTTATGTAACAAAGAAAGACCTGCTATAGGCAGATTTAGCGCTTACATAATGCATCTTTAACAGTATTTATATGTCTTATTACAATGAATTTAATTTAGTGACTTAAAAATGGATTTAAAAGAAAATGGCTACTTTTCTTGAAATATATCTATGAACTTAATTGAAAAATGTAAATAATCAATCAATGATTTTAGTTTTAACTTTAATGTTTCCAAATTTGTTTTCCTGACTTGTGAGGAGAGGGGGGGGGGGGGCTAATCTGTACACTTTAGATCATAAGGTCTGCCATTGAGTCAAGTGGTGTGGTTTTGATCCCACATTTGTACTTGACAAGGAATAAGGTCGCATGTCCAACCTTGTGGGTTTCTCCAGATCCTTCGGTTTTCTCCTACGTTTAAAAGTCCCCTACATGCAAGCGAATTATTGAAATAAAATTGAACCATGTTAGTCCCAATAGAACAAATTCTGTTGAGTTTACGTTAAACCCATTTCTCTCTTTTTAATAATTCTTTGTTTTTTCTTATCATATTATCATATTTATTTTTTATTGCAGGCCCCACACAATACCGTTAGATTCCGCATCTTTAACGCACCAGCGAAAGTTTATGAATATTTCTACATTGACACAACAACTGGTTCATTGGCAGTTAGAAAGTCACTAACGCAAGATATTGCTCAGCAAACAAATTTTAATGTGAGTTGATTTAAATTTATTCATCATATCTCGTTATAACCTTAATGGAAAAGTTGCCTTCCCTTCTTTATTGGAGTTACCTCCCATTATGTACTCTTTGCAGATCAGAAGTGATGTGAGTAAAATGATGACGTTGTTAAACATAACGAATATGTTTCAGCTGTCATGGTTGGTTGCGATATTTTCCTTTGCAGACTGCCTATGCGTTGTAGTCCCAAATTCATCTTTTTGCTCGTTTGTCCCTATTTTTGTCATTGAGAGAATGTAAATTCCGGAATGCTCAATCAAGCATCCTCTGAATAAACATGGTTGATCTCACAGCATATTGTTTTATACTAGATGTATTTTAACCCATACCATCAATGGATAAACAGACAGATGACCCCTACAATGCTTGGTGTAGATACCCATCCCAAATAAATAATTTGTGTATCGCTTCCACTTTAGATCATAAGATCTGTCATTGAGTTGAGTCAAGTGGTATGGTTTCCATTCCAAGTGTTATGGTTTTGATCCCAACCTTGTTTGTTACAAGGAGTAGGGTCACATGTGCCACCTCATGGGATTTCTCTGGGTCCTTTGGTGTCCTCCCACTGCTAAAGACTAAAATTGTTAATCCTGAAATGACGAGTGGACGTTAAACCCTGTTTCTTTCTCTCACTCTCTCTCCATCTGAACATTACTTTCACACAGAATTTGTTTTGAGAGTAATTTTGTAGTGTGTTTAGCTTGGGATGAATAAAAAATAAAATGTCAGACATATATTACAGTTTTGTAAACGTACATGTATTTATAACCCCGTTCAAAACCATGTTATAAATTTTGATGAGGTTAATGCTGCAAAAGATTAGTTAATCCTAGCCTTTTGATAATTTATTTTTTCTTATAGTTCAATGTACAAGCATACGATTTGGGAACACCACGACGTTTTTCTGATCCTGCACAAGTTTCAATAACGGTAACAAGAAATCAATTCAGTCCACAGTTTTTTGGTTGTCCCAATGAGATTAGTATTAATTTTGATACAGTACCGAACACACAAGTTTACAGACTCAACTTTACTGACAGAGATACAGTAGTAAGTCTTCTAATGTTTTTATTTATATACAATTTTTACGTGTAATCCAAGGTCAAAAAATGTTTATAGATGCTTGTCCAAAAACAAAAATTTGGGGCGGTCAGTCTGTCAGTATTTTGGGGGGACCTAATTTTTTTTTTTTTCATTTTTAATATTTGTTTATCTACATAAAATGGGTGTGGTCTGTCAGTCAGACCCCTACGCGCAAGCGAATTATGTAAATATAATTAAACCATATGTTAGTCCCAAAATGACCTAGTTTGTGTCGAGTGGATGTTAAACCCCATTTCTCTCTCCCTCCAATTATGATTCCATTCCATTGAGTAATTACAAAGACGTGATGAACAGAAAATATGTCAGTATTCGGTATCCAGTGTATACTTGAGTGAAGTCTGTGTCACTACAGGCCCAGGACTGTACAGCGCAGTGGACGCAGGTTTATCTTGTAGATTTTTGTTTTGCGTCCTCCTGCACATACTATTATAGATGGTTTCAGGTCAATAACAAAGAAGTCAAACCATTGATGCATTTTTTTAGATCATTTCCTATTTTTAGATAAATAACACAATGTATGCGTTGTTCTGTAATATTTCAGGCTCCATTAAATACAATCGAACTGAATCTGATTGGAGATGATCAGGCTACCAATTTTTTCACCGTAAATCAAACAGGGTTTATATTCCTCTCAAACTCTTTACAATCTGAGACACAGACTCTTTATAAAGTAAGTATATGAGATTATTAATATATTTAAAGGGGCTGGAGCTCCTATATGAGTGGTCTGAAATGTGCACTGCAGATCATAAGGTATGTCATTGAGGCAAGTGGTGTGGTTTCACTCCCAGGCTTGTATGTTACAAGAAGAAGGGTTGTCTGATTCAAGATTTTGAGTTATCTCCAGGGCCTAGCAAGGAACAGCATCTAGTCATTTGGATGGGACGAAAAAACAAGGTATTGAATGTAAACAATGGTGTGCACGTAAAAGAACCCTTGACAGTTCGAATTCAATTTCTGTCTGGTGCTCATTTCATTCATTCATTTTATTTGATTATATTGATTTTATTGTTGTAATATGGTATTTGTTGTGTATTTTAGTTACGTATTGAAGCTAGAGATGGTGGTCTACCTGCTCGTAGTGCAACCTGTGTTTTATCTGTGAACATTCAACGAAACTTATTTAGTCCAACATTATCAGCAAGTAGATATACTACAACTATACTTGAAACTCAGGAGTTAGGCCAAAATATATTACAACAAACACCTATATCTGGTTCTGATCTAGATTCTACAGTAAGTACAATACAGTTTATAGTTGTTTGGATGGTATGTAAAACCGAGGTCTGGTGTACACAGTGGTGTGTACGTTAAAGAACCCTTGACTGTTGGAACTTTAGAAGTAAGCCATAGTGCATCCGGAGAAATGAAATAAAATGGGGTTTAACGTCCTACTGTTCTGCTCCTAACCTGGGCTAATGAAGACGGGCATACGCCATACAGTGTGCTCTGAGTGAAATTTTGCCCGGGCAGCGGCGCTACGGCCTACTCTTATATCGAATTCCAACTGCCAAGGGATCTATTACGTGCACGGGACCTCGGTTTTCCGTCCCATCCGAACGACTAGACAGCTGCCCTCGCAGACCCTCCGTCCTGCATCACTGACAAGAGGAAACCACGCCGGAAAACCGGGATGAACTTTCTCGGCCAATGCAGGGATCGAACACCCGACTTACAGGCTAACGAGCCAGCGTCTTACCCACTTAGCTACGTGATCCCCTGCATCCGGAGAACACCTGGAACTGGCTTATGCAATACCCTCTCCCTGGCATGTGCTTGTCTTTAAACTAGACTGGATGAAGCAGAAAAGTAGGATGTTAAACCTCATTTCATATTCGTTCAAAAGGTCAGCTTCTTAATCTTCAAGAACAAATAGTTTATGTCGAGAGTCTGTGTGATAGAGAATGAATATGTAAAGCATGGGAAGTTTTTAGTTATTTCCTTATGACAACATCTGGACTAGTCTCTATATCATATAGAATGATGCACACTGCTACATTTGGACTAGTCTCTATCATACAGACTGTGTTACATCCTGCTAGGTTTTCGACACATACATTGTTTGTACATTTCAATACATATAATATAAGCCATACAAATGTTGTATGTAACAGTATTACATCGTAAATTTAAATATTTACAACCACTCACAGGAATAAAAAATGCAAATGGTTGATGAAATTAGATATGTATCCATTCTAATGGTACTTCCAATAAATTTAGTGTTTAAACATACAAAGATTAGCATGGGGCTACTATTTTTATGGGAACCCCATGCAATTGCATGGGAACCCCATGCAACTGCCCAGTGTACCCATACAGTAAATTGGCGCTGTTTCTTTATAGACGTTTTCACAAGGAAACTTCCAGTCGATACCCTTCTGGAAGATAAGTTTCGTCTAGATGACCATGTCTGGTTGATCAAACTCATTGCTTTTGATCATTTTCACAAATAGTTATGAATTAATCTGCCAAGAGTCTTATACCGTTTTTTTAATTATCGAAACTGTAATTCAATGTTTTTATTTTGTAGGCACCAAGTAATATCGTTCGTTATAAATTTACTGATACCAATCCTAATAGCTTAGTCCAGACATACTTCCTGATTCTAGAGAACAGTGGACAAATTTTCTTGCGACAAAGCATATTAAATGCTAACACCAACAGATTTCAGGTAATTAAACATACATTAAGCAAGAGTTAAATCTGCCTATTGCAGGTCTTTCTTTAGACATTTATTAACACGACCTTAATCAACTCTCGATATCACCTTATGTATCGGATTTTCACTGGATTTGAATCCGATCTGCTGCACAACACATTGATGATTAAATCCAAAAATGGATAATCCAGACTATGTTTTTTATCATACCAACTTTAGTAATGATAATCGAGGTTAGGCCTAAAATTCAATTGCTAATATCTCGGTTCAGAATGGATCAATTTGACTGAAATTTTCAGCATATTCCCTTTACATTATTATAGTGAGAAGTGCCGGCTCTTTATCTAATCTTCCATAATGCCCCTTTTAGCTATTTCATTCAAAGTCAACGTAAATTGAATTCTGATCTTGAAATGAATTTCTCAAACTTTCTATCCTCCCAAAAATATTTTGTATGTTTTAAGAATCTGTTAATCCTTTTATTTTTTAGTTTACTGTGATTGCATATGATTTGGGATCACCAGAAAGGTCATCTGTGCCATCAGAAGTAATAGTTAATGTTGTCAGGAACCAAAATCCACCAGTTTATACTCGTGCCAGCACACAAAATATTGTCAGCATTAACAGAACTCAGACGGTCAATCAAGAATTTTACCAAACTGTGTGCACAGATAATGATATTGTAAGATACATAATAATAATTCAATAATTATAGACCTGTAGAATAGAACTGTAACGTAAATAAGTACGGTTAACTGGTCGAGAAAGAGATATTAAATAATATATTGAAACTACATGAGGGTGTCAGTCTGAGTGTTGTGTCAAAAGATTATTCAATGTTTTTCTCAAGACCATTAAACTTAAATACAGATACACTATCTTGCATGTGCATTTTAATGAAATCATCACAAGTCCAATATTTCATCTATTATTAATAATGTACGATTGGCATGTTGCACTATTTGATATACTGGTACGCCAACATCAAAGGATGATGTTACATCTGTATTTTAACATACTCTAATGTATGATATTGTATATGATTTATATTTGTTTCTCTTCATTGTATCATGGGGGGTTGGATGGCTGAATGGTTAGCGTGCGCGCGCTGTATCATAAAGTCTGTCATTGAGTCGACTGGCGTGGTTTTGAATCCCTGGTTGTACGTGACAAGGAGTAGGGTCGCCTGTCCAACCTCGTGGGTTTTCTCTGGGTCCTCCGGTTTCCTCCCACAGCTAAAGACCCCTACGCGGAAGCGAATTATGTAAATAAAATTAAAAAACATATGTTAGTCCCAAAATGACCTAGTTTGTGTCAAGCGGATGTTAAACCCCATTTCTCTCTCTCTCTCTCTCTCTCTCTCTCTCTCTCTCTCTCTCATTGTATCATGATTTCTCTCATTGTATCATGATTACTTATTCTACAAAGGCAATTTCTCGCGGTTAAACGAAACTGTTATGAATTAATTACCGTAAACACCCACATATAACAACATATATAATGTGCACCCCCTCTCTGATCCCCAGAATTCAGGAAAAGTTACACATTTTTATTCCTCTAAATAACACGTACGCCTGGTTCAAGGGGGACAACCCAGGATGAAATAGTGGGTGTTTATAAGGTATTCACCATATTTTGTGCTTATGTTATATTTATGGAATATTATGTTTTATAACTGATAAATGTACAAATTATTTTAGTTTCCATTTAATGAAGTAACACAGGATATAATTGGAGATGGAGATGCTTCAATTCTTTTCTCCATTGTTCCAAATACTGGTAGTTTACGCATTAATAACAACTTTGGTCTTGAAACAAATGAAGTTTATTATGTGAGTATTTAGATCTTCTTTCGTGCACCCTTAATTAAAACTGGAGTTTGCATTTGTTGACGGATTGGTGGTTTATAAATATACATTATTGTTTATTATTATTAAATAAATCTCAACCCACTATAACAGTGACTTATGACTGATTGCATTTAGCAATGTGAGGTTCGATATTGCAAAATGTAATTATTTGTTTTATTGTAGATACGTGTTAGATGTCAGGATAATGGAAGTCCCCGATTGTCAACCACAACAGTAGTAACTGTTAATGTCGAAAGAAATTTGTATGCACCATCTTTCATAAACCCCTCTTATTCCACATCTATACCTGAAACTACGACACCTGGTAGTGTTATACTTACTGTTTCTGCTACTGATTTGGATTCTCCAGTAAGTTAATCTATATGTAATAGGGATTCAATAGGTTTTTCAGGGTATGGACTCTAGCAAGTATTTTATGTATGGCTTTTATACAGTGCTGTCGGAAAACCAACCATATACATCCAGTAGACGTGGTACAAGGGTTAATCAGCGAACTGGATGTATGAGATGTGTTGTTGACGTTTGGAAAGTAGGACGAGGGGAAATGTGTAGGGAGTGAAGTGCTGTAAAGGGATAGTTAGATGTATTATGAATGGTTAGAGTGGCTGTGGTGTTACAGTGAAATACTATGCCGCCACCGTAACACCACAGCTTTATGATTTGTTAGACAGGAGTGATGTAATGGGTGTCAACAACTGGGTATGCTGGTACCGTCGCAACGTAGCCGTGAAATATATATTGTGGGGGGGAAGGGCGGAAACGGAAAAATATACAATGTTGACAGTATGTGCCAGGCATGAGGCTGCGCAGACCGAGCGGCAGCTCGATAGGGAGTGTGTGGGAGGGTCACCCTCATAAAATTTTTTTTTTTTAAATTTCAGTTTTCTGTAAGCAGTGAAAACACTATTTTGGCATTGTTTGCGGGGTTAAACCTAAAAATCACATTAATACACCTATTGCACGATATTGTGAAACTAGCTGACGAAGACAGCTCGGGCGGCGATTGTTCGACTCTGGGCTGCTCTGTCAGTATCTAACAAACGCATTTAGTTCGCGTACAACTTTTAAAAACCGAATGTCAGTATGGTATTTCTCACATAATTGGTTATCGCAAAAACAGAGTAAACTGAAAGCGAGTAATCTCGACTCAAACCTATAGTCTATAGCCTACTTACTACACTCGTCACTAGGCTTCCTATATTATTGTTTGTGGACGGTTTACTACTCAGTGATAAGCCTGCGCCGCAAAAAGAGGTCTCGCCTTTTATTATTAGTATAATGACTTCCTCATGTGCGGCAGGTTAGTTTGCTTCTAAAAACACTGTTTTCCGTTCCAAAAAATACAAAAGTAATTTTCTACCAGATGACCATGGTTCTTTTCACCGAGACTAGATAACTTCTCTCGGTGTAAGGATATAGCTATGGATAAGTTCATACAAGGTCAATAAATCCGCGGTCACTTCGGGTCACACTGTTGAGAAAATAAACCGATGGGTTTGTTTAGTAGCAAATCGAGCGTGAATCAACTGAGTTTGTACTGAAAAATTTTTGAGTGATATGTATGAACTGTCTTCACACATTCGGTTTATAATTAGCGATACACAGGTACAGTGGCAAGTGTTGTACTTCACAGACTGTTTACCTCCGAACTACCTCCGCACGAAATCCCCGATTTGGGTACTTGTTAAAAGAAAAAGAAATAGTACCTGTGCGCATGCCAGTAAAAAAAACCTAAGAGTTCGCGCATAAAATTGCCCGAACGTACCAGGCGCCAGGTCATCCAGGGAGAGAGAGAAATATGGTTTAACGCCTACTCGAAACAAACCAGTTCAATTTTATTTTAATAATGTCTGTGTTAAACTCTGATATGCCCAGGGGAATTTTTTTGTAAATCAACACTTTTTATGAGAAAGGTTTCTCGGCCGTGTGCTTTATCCTTTATCGTCAGATTTGGGACAGGATGGGCACTCAAAGCACGAGATAATGATATAGACATTATGTGATATCACAATTAATGCTTGGCATCCATGAAATTGAATCACAATGTCATTGTATTAATTCATAATAAAAATTGACGTCAAACGAGGTGTTGAATTTCTCTGTTTAAAAAGCTCAATGTGTATGTATATACGCCAAAATGACGATAGAGACCATGCGGGAGGGGGTTGGGGAGATACATTGTCTCAGGAACACGACACCCCCCCCCCCCCCTGCAAAAATTCCTGGATCCGCCCCTGATGCCCAGCCCTCACAGAGACTTGCCTATAGAAGGAATGAAGAATCAAGACTTTGTTTGTTATGGTGGCAACCATACAAACAATCAATCAGCAATTGTCGTAGATAATTTATACTATTTCTTGTTAAAAATTGTCAAAGCTCAGATTAAAGTAATTTGACTGAAAGTTTCAATATATTCATTTGAAATAATTTTGAACTATTATAGCAAAAACATTCAGCTCTTTTTTTTTAATCTTTGCATAATGCTTCTTTAAGCCTGATGCGACAGATGTTTTTTAAACTCTTTAATAAAACAGGCTTCCCCATAAAACTTTATCCAATAAACATTACTTGGATATATTCTAAGTTGGACCATTAGCTGCCAGAAGCAATACTGGTGCATGTTATCTGTCTAAAAGCGAAACTTTGTTTTTAATATAGGGAATATTCAAAGATGTAAACTATTTCTTTACAACTAATGTGGATAGATTTGCCATCAACCCAACCAATGGACAAATTACTGTTCGAAGAAATCTGTATGGAGAAACACAAACTCAATTCACGGTAGGCAACATCTTTTTAAATAACAAACCAATAACTTTTACACTGAAATGATATGGCTGTATTTTACTTCATGAAAATCTCAAGCAATTCATTTCACTTCTCCCATATATTCTCACATAAATGTCTAAAAACCACACTTCCTAAATTAGTAGGCTTCCAAAATAGCACCTGTTATTGAGAGATAAGCAAGGGATATTTAGTGATATTTGAAATTGATATACTTATGTAGCATTTAAGACTGATTAATGACAGCAATTTATTCAGATTGTATAAGTTTATTGCCATTTTGAATATTTCATTGTAACGATGCATGATTTGTGTTTTTTGTAAAAATGTCAATTTCATCATGGCTTAATCCATGCTAATATGTACTCAGCTTGATTATTCAGCATTTAGTTAAACATGCATTATGCAAGAGCAAAATCTGCTTATTACAAGTCTTTCTTTAGGCCTGAAATGTTATCTAAATGATCAATTAGACATTAATTAACTTATCCAGGCCATAATATACTCTCGATGTCAAGGCTAGCCTTCGATGTTGGCTGGATTAGATTCCTATATGCCGCTAACGGCCTTTGACAATTAAATCAAAAAAAGCGGATAGTCGAGTCTATGCTGTTTATATTAATGATTTTAGTAATGATGACCGAGACTAGGCAAAAATTTCACCCGCTTCTTTCTCGGCTCATAGTGGATCAATTTGACTGAAATTTTCAGCAAATTACCTTTACACTATCTAGTTTTTAACTATTATAGCAAGAACTGCCATCTCTTTATCTTATCTCCCATAATGTATCTTTAAGAAAACAACATAAAAATTACAAAGAATTCAATCAGATTAAAAACATGCCAATCAATTTGGTTTACAAGGAGCAGCATAGATAGATGGAAATTTCAATTTGTTCTACCTTGTAAATACTAAGTAGAATTGAAACATTTCTTGACTGAGATTGATGGAATTTTCAGTTTGTCATATCTTTGTAAAGAATTGAACCATATTTGGACTGAGATTCAACATTCACAATATTGTAGTTTGCAAGGGATTCCTATGGTGCTAAAATCACAATCATTGTCTTTATATCGAAAAAGGATTAAGCATAGTTAGTGAAGTACCATCATTTATATGTTTATCAAGTTTTAATAATTTTGTGTTTTACTTACAGTATCAAGTTGTTGCTAGAAATCTCGACACTAATCCAAGAAGCAGCAATCCAGTTACAGTAACAATTCAAGTTTTACGAAACAATAATCCCCCAATATTTCAAAACGAACCCTATTCTACCAGCTTCACTTCCCAGTTCTTAGCTAATGCTGGGCAAAGGGTTTTTACTGTAACTGCTACAGATGCTGATACACAGGTACGCCTAGACATTATTAATTTATATTTTATACATGTAATGTAATGGGCCCTTATTCACGAAAACTTAAACTAAGATACAATCGTAATTTTAAGAAATACTGCAATTCGATTGGCTGACCAGTAAAATCAATTTGCATATATCCAATGAAGTTGCAGTATTTCTTAAAATTTTGGTTGTAACTTAGTTTAAGTTTTCGTGAATAAGGGCCCTGATCTATATTTCTTTTTGTTTTTTATACTTTCGATGGCCTCCACTACATGAAATGACCTAGTTTTTGTGGAGTGAACTTTAAACCCCATTTCTCTCTCTCATGTATTTTTAGACACCATTAAATCAAGTACAATACAGAATTATTGGAGAAGGTGTGGCTGTGAATCTGTTTAATATCGACGCCAATAATGGTATAATAACAACCAGAAGTAATATTAATACTGATGGCAATGATTACTATAGAGTAAGTTAATCAATCAATCAATCAACACAGAATCTGTATAGCTCAAACAATGGTTCAGTTATATTAATACTGATTGCACTGATTACTATATATCAATCAATCAGTCACAAGCACTAGCAGTAATGTTAATACTGAATACAGTGATAAGTAAACTGAAAGTTAATCAATCAATCAATGAACATAGATTCTGTATAGCACACAAAACTTCAGATAAAGTTCCTTATGTGCTTTAAAGTTGGATAATCATCAGAAATGCACAAGGCAGATATGCAGGAACACCTGAATACCATTTGATGAGTTCGCATTTAATAAACGTATTGAAAGAGACACTAAGCTCCATTTCACTCCATAACTATGACAATACCTAAAACATTACGTCTATAGTTTTTTTATTGTTTTATTTTAGATATATGTGGTGGCTGAAGATGGCGGGATACCAGCTCTAATTGATACAGCTATTGTATATGTCAATGTCACACGTAATCTCAATTCTCCTGTATTTAATCCTACTATATATAGAATAGGTGTGCCTGATATACAAACATTAGGAACACCAGTGACAACTGTTTCTGCTACAGATGCTGATACCACAGTAAGTTCTAATTCTTTTAAAATCTCAGTTTATTAAAATTCTAAATTGGATCGATGTAGGATGCTTGTAGACCAAAAAATTTGCTTTCTAATTAAATATATACAGTTTCATTCTAATTCTATTGTCGGCAGTTTACTACAGTTCATTTGATCTAAAGACATGTTTATCAATGCTCAAATTTGATAGGTTAACTACAGATCAACCCACCAACCAAAACCTGTGACACAAACATTTCTGCGAATTCTTTTGAAGGGCCTTGATTATCAATAATATTTACTTGCCGTATCTAATTAGGGTGAAAGTTACTATTATTCCCTGCCGTCGTAAACCTCATTTCTTAAACATATCTTTAGATGCTAATGGAATGACCAAAGGAACAGACAGAACCAAAAATAAAACCTGATCTTAATTATGTTGCTTAAAGATGCATTATGTAAGATTTAGATAAAGACCAGGGCCCTTATTCACGAAAACTTAAACTAAGTTAAATCAAAATTTTAAGAAATACTGCAATTCGATTGGCTGACCAGTAAAATCAATTTGCATATATCCAATGAAGTTGCAGTATTTCTTAAAATTTCGATTTTATCTTAGTTTAAGTTTTCGTGAATAAGGGCCCTGACTGTTCTTGCTGTAATAGATCAAAAATAGATAATGAAATAATATATTGAAAATTTCATTCAAATTACTTTATTTTGAGCAAAGTTGCCAGTGTTTGAAGTTTTGATGTAGATTGTAGCGTAGATTGGTTATTATCGTAGCAATGGTACTAGACAATCAAGACTTAGTCTCAATTTTCCCTTTTATCATAATTTTTTTTAATCTCGCTGGTGTTCTAATCCATTGAAATTTCAGCCATCCGATGTCAAGAGAGTTCATTGCAGGCATTTCATGTGAATAAATGTCTAAATAATAGTTTATATAACATTTTAGGCAAGAAAATAAAGGCTTGCAATAGGCTGATTTAGCTCTTGCTTAATGCATCTTTAATTTATTGCTTATTGTCCAAGAAAGAAATTTGTTTAATTTTGAGCTGATATCTTTGAAATGTTTCTAAATAGAATATTGTTAATCAAATGAAAAAAAAAAGACCCTATTAATAGGAGAAAATTTTTGTATATTATTTAGTCTCCACAAAATAGACTAGAATACCGAATAACTGGTGAAGGAAGAGGTCCAGAATATTTCCGAGTGAACCAAAACAATGGAGAAATCTCTGTGTATCAACCGTTATATACCGACACAACCAATCCCACTGGATATAATGTAATTATAATAATATTATTCAAGATTGGGGGGGGGGGGGGAGATTGGATGGTCGAGTGGTCTAATACCTACACTTAAGATCATTAGGTTTATCATTGAGTCAAGTGGCGTGTACGTGGTAAGGAGTAAGATCACTTGTCCGTCCAACTTTGTATGTTTTCCCCTGGTTATCTGGTTCCTGCCCCCCCCCCCCCCACTGCTAAAGACCCCCATGAGTAAGTGAATTATTGAAACATAATGGTACGATATATAAGTCCCAAAATGTTGTTTGGGTGGACGAAAAAAAAATGAGGTCCTTTGTACACGTTGGTGTGCACATAAAAAAAGAACTAAAAGAACCCTTGACAGTTGCTGTCCAGGGAAAATTTCCCTCATAGCACACGGTATGATCTTTACCTATCTTCATTTGCCCAGTAGTTGCAAAACAGTAGGACATTAAACCCCATTTCATTTCATTTTCTAGTATTAAATACCATTTTAGGGCCTAGAACTTTAGCAATAATACTTGCTTTACAGAAAACAGAGTTTTATGTTGGCTTTTAAATAATAGAAAGCTTTAAGATCAAGAATTGACATAATACTCAATCATTTATGTTTAAATGTGTTTATTTGTGATATAGCTTACAGTGAATGTTCGAGATTTGGGTAATCCTTCAAGACAAGGTACAAATGTTGCTCAGGTGTTTGTCACCGTACAAAGAAATCTGTTTGCACCTAGTTTCACAACTCAGAGCTGTTCTGCAACTATTACCAGAAGTGTCCAGACAGGTACTTCTATCAGCAGGGTCACTGTTTCAGATCAAGATCAAGTAAGTACCATACTTGTTATTTATGATAGTTTGAGATTTTGGTTTGTCTGTGCGGCGTTCGTGTTGGCCTACTGTTATTGTACTTCATGGAGTAGCTTTGTACGTCAAAGCAAAACCTTGGTGGCATGGGAAGTAAGATGTTGACTCACTTACCTGGAGGTCCCACGTTCGATCCATGTGTTGGCCCAGAACGTCCAGCAGGATTTCCCGTCATGATTCCCCTTGTCAGTGGTGCATGACAGAGGGCCTGGTAAGGGACAGTATGTAGACATTTGGATGGGATGGAAATCGGTTTTCAAAACATTTACTCTTAAAATTTTAAGAGAATTAATCGAAAGGCAACACTTTTGATTTTTATTGGAGTGTCCACAACAAACAAAGAGGAGGTATATAGCTGATCTTCATGGTCTTCCTGATGCTCCACTAGACCCTTTTCCAAATTATTAATGTCACTTACTGGCAAAGATATCACATAGTCATTCATATGTGATTAAAAACCCAGGTCCCTGGAAGAGAACCCTTCATAGTTGAAATTCGAAATAAAGCCTGTCTGCATTAACCCTGATGGAAATATAGGATGTTAAACACCATTTCATTTCATTTTATTTCAGGAACCATTTAATAGAGTAACGGTAGATATTATTGGAGATGAGACAGCGCCATCACTGTTCAGCCTTGATACCCAAAATAACATACGTGTAATCAATTCTGCCAATTTGGCTCTTGATTCTACAAATGTGTATTCAGTGAGTTACTACTTACCTATTACATAAATGTTTAGTTTTTATACATTTTCATATGAACGTATTATGCTATTGCTCCTGTCCTTGTGTCACAGGTCACCTTTTTTTTTTATCAAATTTTATACACTATTCAGGAGAAATGATACAAAACTCTGGGCCGTGGTGACTCAATGAGTAAGGCCCTGGCTGGCTAAACAGGAGGTCTTGTGTTCACTCCTGGTTTTGACCAGGAAAGTTCCTCATGATTTTTCGCTGTGGTTTCGACTTCTATGCCTTGTAGGAAAGAGGCCCTGGCAAGGACAGTGTGTAGTCATTCAAATCTGATTAGAAACTAAGGTCCTGTGTACACATTGACATGCACATTATAGAACCCTTAACAATGGCTGTGTTGATGTCCAGACAGAATTTCACTCATGGCACACTGTATGGCGTATACCCGTCTGCATTAGCCCAGTCCGTGCATAACAGTAGGACGTTAAACCCTATTTCGTTTTATGACTGAAATCTGACGAAATCTTAAGCTAAAGGAAGACGGATCTTTTAATATTAGATGAAATTTCACTCATAGCACACTGCATAGCGTATGCCCATCTTCAATAGCCAGTCAGTGCTGATACATTAAACCCCATTTCATTTCAAACCATCGGTATCTTTTATTATTTGTCTCTTATGTTATTGACTTTCCTATAACATGTATACATTGGCATATTCCCGACCGAAATACCCCAGAAATCCCATTATATCTAATCAAATGAAGCACTGCAGGGTTAACTTTATCATCATTCCATGTGACAGTTAGCTTTGTATGATAGAAATAAATACATGTTACGTCATATATTTATTCATTTTTTTTTTTAGGTACGTATAAGAGCTAGAGACAGTGGTATGCCAGTAAAGTCAGCAGTTAAAGTTTGTTCGATAACAGTCAACAGAAATATTATTGGTCCCCAATTTACACCTGCCAGTAGTTCAGTGTCTATCACGATACCAGAAACACAAACACCTGGCTCTGTATTAGTCGATCTTGATGCTACTGACAACAGTCCAAATGTGAGTTAATAAATGAAACTTGGATGAAATATTGATAAAGTAATATGATAAGTAACAATGATACCTTTGAAAACAAATTTGAAAAAGCGATTCATATGGAAATGTTTTAATATATTATATATTTCAGTTGGACATTAAATCCAATTTCTCTCTCTATTTACAGGCACCTGACAACCAGATTACCTATTCTATTAGTAGTCAGTCTTCTGGGTCGTCTGATTATCTAGTTCTGGACCCGAATGATGGTAGAATTCGATTAATACAGTCTCTGGCTGGAACTTCCTTCAATGGATTCCAGGTAAATTTTGAAATCACTACATGAAAACAGTTTTTATATTCTGGATAGCTTTTTTTCTTTTATCAAACAAATTTAACAAAAAAGCCTCCTTGTAAATTGTTTTCCATGTCACGCATGTGGTGGAGATGGTTGAACATTTTATTCTGCTATTACCAATATTTACTATTTAAAATATATTGATAAGATGTACATATGATTATTTTTATCAGCTAACAGTAACAGCCCGTGATGGTGGCTTCCCCAGTTTGGCAACAACAACTACTGTTAATATCAATGTAGTTAGAGAGGGTACCCTTACCTTCGGTTTAAATGACTATGGTAGACGTATAGATGAAGATTTAGGCGTTAATTCTCTGGTTTTAAATGTCCAAGCTTCTCCAGGGGTAAATATAACATCATTTACCTTAATATCAACTGAAAATTTTATTACATTGGAAAAATAATACGTTTTAGGAATTAATAAGTTTTAGTTGAGTGAAATTTTTTATACGCCCACATTTTCATGTGGACGTTTTATGCCGTCGCCCCCGTCCGTCCGTCCGTCCACAATTTGTTTGTGGACACTCTACAGGTCACAATTCTTATCCGATTTTGACGAAACTTGAAATATAGCTTTATCTCCAAAAGATCTCGGCTGCTTTCGATATTGGCATGTATCGGATCGAAACTTCATGGATTATGGCCCCTGTTTGTACGAAAAATCACGTTTTTAGCTTGTGGAACCTATAGAGGTCACAATTTTTATCCGATTTTGTTGAAACTTGAAATGTAAGTTTATAACACAAAGATCTCGGTTCCTTTCGATATTTGTGCAAATCCGACCGTAACTTCCTGAATTATGGCCCCTGATTGTACGAAAAATCACATATTTAGCTTGTGGACCCTATAGAAGTCATCATTTTTATCCGATTTAAAAAAACGTATTATTATATCACCGTTACACCCTAAGGACGACTGAGATCGAATTTCGTGAAAATCGGCCCAAAATTGACAGACAAAATGGCCGCCGTTTGTTCTCAAATAGCGTAAGAATATGGTATATCAAGGTTGTGGACCCTATAGAGGACACAATTTTTATCCGATTTTGTTGAAACTTGAAATGTAAGTTTATAACCCAAAGATCTTGGTTCCTTTCGATATTCACGCATATCGGACCGTAACTTCCTGAATTATGGCCCCTGATTGTACGAAAAATCAAGTTTTTAGCTTGTGGACCCTATAGAGGTCATAATTTTTATCCGATTTAAAAAAACGTATTATTATATCACCTTTACACCCTAAGGACAGCTGAGTTCGAATTTCGTGAAAATCAGCCCAAAATTGACAGACAAAATGGCTGCCGTTCGTTCTCAAATAGCATAAAAATATGGTATATCAAGGTTGTGGACCCTATAGAGGTCACAATTTTTGTCCGATTTTGTTGAAACTTGAAATGTTAGTTTATAACACAAAGATCTTAGTTCCTTTCGATATTCGCGCATATCCGACCGTAACTTACTGAATTATGGCCCCTGATTGTACAAAAAATCGCGTTTTTAGCTTGTGGACCCTATAGAGGTCATAATTTTTATCCGATTTAAAAAACGTATTATTATATCACCATTAAACCCTAAGGATAGCTGAGTTCGAATTTTGTGAAAATCGCCCCAAAATTGACAGACAAAATGGCTGCCGTTTGTTCTCAAATAGCGTAAAAATATGGTATATCAAGGTTGTGGACCCGATAGAGGTCACAATTTTTATCCGATTTTGTTGAAACTTGAAATGTAAGTTTATAACCCCAAGATCTCGGTTCCTTTGGATATTTGCCCATATCGGACCGTTACTTCCTGAATTATAGCCCCTGGTTGTACGAAAAATCACGTTTTTAGCTTGTGGACCCTATAGAGGTCATAATTTTTATCCGATTTAAAAAAACGTATTATTATATCACCGTTACACCCTAAGGACAACTGAGTTCGAATTTCGTGAAAATCGTCCCAAAATTGACAGACAAAATGGCTGCCGTTCATTCTCAAATAGCGTAAAAATATGATATATCAAGGTTGTGGACCCTATAGAGGTCACAATTTTTATCCGATTTTGTTGAAACTTGAAATGTAAGTTTTTAACACAAAGATCTCAGTTCCTTTCGATATTTGCGCATATCGAATTGTAATTTCCTGAATTATGGCCCTTGATTGTAGGAAAAATCACTTTCTTGTTAGCTTGTTCTCTATCCATCTCTCGAAAATGTGGGCGTATCCTGCCTGGCAGCCGCTGGTTTTATGTACTATGCCCTTTTACTATGAACATTTTGTGGTTTTTATTTATTTTTTTATGAGTAGACCTTAGTGCCTTTGTCAGGGCAAAATTTCCCTCATAGCACATTGTATGACGTATGCCCGTATTCATTATCCCCGTTGGTGCTGAAAAATCGGACAAATAAAGAAATTTAGCAATAATACTTGCTTTACAGTTTTATGTTGACATTTAATTATTAGAAAGCCTTATGATCAAGAATTTGTTTGTTATTTTAAAATACCTAATGTTTTGTATCTCAGCCTAGTGTGACATATGAATTAATTGGTACAAGCGATGGTCCAGATTATTTTAGAATAGACCCCAACACTGGTGAAATTAGAATACAGAAACTTCTCACATCTGATCGTAACAAGAAGACTGAGTATACCGTAAGTAGGGCTGTCACCCCCAAAAATCGACAAATACATATATTGTGATACAAACCTTCCACATTGTGATATACGAAAATGGCAATGCTTTCTCTATTGTTAATTTATCAATATTTATGTAAATAGTTTCCTAAAAAAACAATTCTAGATTTTATGACAACCATTTAATTATCAAAACAAATCATAAAATCATGCAAAAGGCAGAAGCTAATGAGGTCATTCTAATTGTGCTGAATGCTAAAATGCCCCCTGAAGATGCTTGTCACACCTTTCAAGTGTACCAACTATCATGGAATGAATGGGTCTATAGTAGATTATTAATGATTCTGTTCGAAAGTCAGACTGGAAGTATGTAGAAGCATGGAACAAATATATATCGCCTATGGTTCTGGCTGAAAACTTTTAGATTTATGCATTTTGTAATTAATCTAATACAATCTGGGAAGGTTTTTCACCACTCTACAGATTTTTAACTGCTTGTATTTTAGTTAAGAGTGAGAGCAACAAAGGGAAGCTTAACTGCTGAGGCAAACGTGGTTATAACAGTGAACAGAAATGTGTTTGGACCAACATTTACCCAGAATGATTATACATCAACAAGATCAGAGAATACACGATTGGGAACTTCTATTGTACAACTAGTAGCTACAGATAACAATACACAGGTACATCCTTATATTTCAGTAAATTTCCCACCCCTGTTAAAGATACATTCTTCCCATGAAAGTATTTATGGGGTAGTTATTTTAAATAAAGGTACGGCAAATTTGTTATATATGGAAAGTAGAGACACCCAATCTTGTTAAATACACTGAACAAAAATATAGGGTATTGCTAACTGGAACTTGTCAGGATGTCTGCTCTAACGGCATAGGGAGTACGTGCTATCTGTTGATCAAATAGCTAGCAGTTGTGAAAACAGTGACAGACTTAAATGTCATCAGACTCTTTGATTAAACTGCGGAAAAGGAAGTTTGCAGAGGATAATGCAAGAATTATTTGTGGCAAATGGACAGTGAGTAAAAACAAATACTAGCTAAAAAAACTGGATCCTCCCTTGATCAGATTATGTGACAAACATAATTTAATCTAAGCAAATCAATAAATCACATAGTTTGTATGTGAGAAGGCACCTTTAATTAATGCATGTAATTTTGAGGTTTCTGCGTTGTATTACAGTGGTTAGTTGTTTACCGAGAGTAGGGGGTTGGATGACCGAATGATTAGAGCGTGCATTGTATCATAAGGTCTTTCATTGAGTCTACTGGCATGGTTTCGATTCCCCGGTGTACGTGACAAGGAGTAGGGTCGCCTGTCCAACCTCGTGGGTTTTCTCCAGATCCCTGGGTTTCCTCCCACCGCTAAAGACCCATACACGCAAGCAAATTATTGGAAGAAAATTGAAACATATGTTAGTCCCGAAATAACCCAGTAGCACACTGTATGCCGTATGCCCATCTTCATTAGCCCAGTCAGGATGTTTCCATTTCCCAGTGTAATATCTCACTTTGACATCTAACACTAGAGTAGCAGGTGTTAAACTTAAAAAAATACAAAATTTGATTGCACTTAGCACTAATGTTGCAAAATTTGTTTCTGAAACAATTATTAGTCAAACCTGAATTTAGGTTCTTTGATAAATGTCTTCAGCACACACACCCATACACACAATAACCTACTTATACAAGAGAGAGAGATGGGGTTTAACGTCCACTCGACACAAACTAGGTCATTTCGGGACTAACATATGGTTTAATTTTATTTACATAATTCGCTTGCGCGTAGGGGTCTTTAGCAGTGGGAGGAAACTGGAGGACCCGGAGAAAACCCACGAGGTTGGACAGGCGTTTCTTCTTATACAAAGTTGAAATGATGTAAATAATAGGCTGGACAGATCTGTATTTGAAATTGTTGCAATTTGTATATTTTATTTTTTGGATGTAGAATAAAATTGACTGTTTATTTTATTTTAGGATGTTCTGCTTTATAGTGTTGAAACAGCAAATACAGATTCTGATTTCTTCTATGTTTCGCCAAGCACCGGTACAGTATTTTTGAAAAGACTGCTCACAGAAACAACTAGCAACACTCTGAGGGTAAATACAACTTTGATCTCTAGAAAATTTCAAATTGCCCTTTCGAGTACATTAGATAGCTCTTATATTAATATTATCTAATAGTTTTATATTCATCCTTTAAATATGAGCATTTCACATGTTTATGTCCAGATGTCTTTCATCTTTGTCACTGGGGGCTGTTAAATATTTTTATATATATTTCAGTAAAGTTTTTTATTTGTCCATTGTATCTATTTCAAATTATCTGCAATATATTAAATCACATAAAATGTTCTAGTGAGGATGGTAATATAATTATTATTTGATACACAGACACCTGGGGTGTTGTTTGGCCGAATTGTTGAATGCATCTGTCATTGAGTCAAGTTTCGTGGTTTTGATTCCCTGCTTATACATGACAAGTTGTAGGGTTGCCTGTACAGCCTCATGGGTTTTCTCCAGGTCCTCCAGTTTCCTCCCACTGCTTAAGATCCCTTTGCTCAAGTGAATTATTCAAATAACAAATGAACCATATGTGATTCCTGAAATGACATAGTTTGTGTCAAGTGGACATTAAAAGCCATCTCTCTCTCTCTCTCTCTCTCTCTCTCTCTTTGTCACTGGAACCTAGTGTGGAGACTTAAGTTTAGGGACTCAGCAGTCAAATGGTTAAAATAAGCTAAGATTAATATGCTAACTATTTTATTCTTTGTAGTTCCGAGTTAAAGTTTCGGATCAGTCTGTACCGGAAAGAGTAGCAACATCCCAAGTAACCGTGATTGTGACTCGTGGTTCTCAGTCCCCTGTGTTTATCAATACTCCATACAGTCAAAGCATTAATTTTGACACAATAGCAAACTCTGTAATTTATAGCAGAGTGTCTGCTACAGATGCAGATCGTACAGTAAGTTTTTCATTATTAGAGGTATTACGTGTAGATCTGACTTATGTAGTATCATAGTTAAAATATTATACATAAGTATTTACTTACTTATGTTTCAAAGAAACATTCAGCAAGATATGTAAATATGTATGTTTTTTAGCATCTTCTCACAGATTGTTTTCAAAGAGACTTATTAATTTTCGACGTTTTAGCCTTGATCACTTGTAGACACTTTACTCTATACATTAAAGTTACCATTAGGTTGATTTGAAATATATGCACAGTTTTTATGTTCATGAGATGGAAAAAGCCTCCAGTAATTTGAACAGCTAAAGCTAACATTTGATAATCAGATCATTCGTTTATGGATACACACAGGAGCTGCAATTCACTCCAGTTGGTTGCTGATAAAGTTTTCTGGAGCAGTTTCTCCTTGTCCGATGGCACGAAAAAATGCGGTCCTGTGTACACATTGGAGTGCATGTGAAAGATACCTTGACAGTTTGAATTTAAAAAAAGAGTAGGTTGTAGAGCTGCTTTCCAGGCAAAATATCACTCATAGCAAACTGCATGGTGTAAACCTGCCTTAATTAGCCCAGTCGTTGCTGAATAGTGTGACGTTAAACCTCACATCATTTCAGTTATTGTTATTATTAATGTTGAACTATTTTTCAGGGTCAGATTGTTTATGAAGCTACAGGTTATTTATCAGCGACTGGTTATTTTTCTGTTGATAGAAATACTGGTGAGATACGAACTCGAAGTAACTTGAGAAACGATATTTCTACAACTTATACAGTGAGTTTCTACACACATAATTTTAAGGTCTCTGAGCATGATTTAAAGTGTTATATGAATATTATCAAAGTTTAATCTCTAATAGGAATACCAGTTCAAAAATAGTTAAAAAAATTCCGTTCAGGATTTAATAAGATACAACAAATTGAAAATTCCATCATCTATCATGTAACAAGCCAGCCAGCTTTTTTATTTGCCATGAACCAAATTGATGGGCCTGTTTTTTAAACCGATGGAATCCAAACTGAGAGATTATCTAGTGTTAGTATTTTGATTTTTGTTTTCTTAATGAAATGTTAAGTAATCGATCTGAGTGCATAGCGTGGTTTAAGCTATGAGAAATTTGATATTTTCAAAAAATTTTAATTGTTAATTTTACATGTCTTGTATATTGGTTATGGCTGGTGTTTTGATCTTGGTAGCAAAGAAGTAATGTCTTGTGTCTGTTTTAGCTTGGTCTCAAGGCTTATGATAGTGATCGACCTAATGAAGTAGCAACAGCCAATGTCACTATCAGTGTCAACAGAAATCCTAATCGACCCCGATTTACATCTAATTCCTATCAGCGATCTATATCAGAAAACTTTGTCCTGGGAACGAGCCTGGTTCAAATAGCTGCCACGGATAATGATGGGGTAGGTTTCATATTTATGTTCTGTCTTATTGTCAAATGTTAACTTATTATATCTCATCTTATCCTCCATACATTGTGTGTCATGGACACTTTACATGGAAGAGTTTCCTCCCCATTTATTAGTTATTGAATTCTCTGAAAATAGTGACAATTGAGGGAAAACAGGAATTTCAAACTACAATACATATGCCTATTGCGTAAAGAAACTATCTAAACCAACAATCACAGCTGAAACGTATACGTTGTTTTTTATTACATCCCGATTCTACTCACATAACCTTCGTTGTCAGGACTGACAGAACTGTGACACTTGATTGCAATTCTGTCAATTTGGGGCATTCTGGACTTGACAGTCGAGCTTCCAACTTACGTAATCTTTGACTTATTATCTAGAGAGTGAATAAACATGGTTGATCTCACAACATGTGGTTTTACATTGATTGTATTCTAGCCCATACCATTACTAGATTACCAGACAAATTACCACCACAGAGCATTATACTATAATATTTATTTATAATTAATCAAGTTTTTCGTTGTGCATATATTTTATTATTTATTTACTACATTCATGTTAAAAATATGTATATTACTTTTAATAAATTGGAGTCGGCTTTTATTTATTAATGACAGTGTTTCGGTCAGTATGGAATTCACTGACACTAACCAACAAGTCTTGTGTTCAATTCTGTGGATGGCCGAGAAAGTTTTGAGGATTTTCCTGTCTGGTTTCCCCCACGTCAGTTGTGCAAGATGGAGGGCCTGGAGATGAGAAGCATCTACTTATTCCAGTTGTGCAGGACTCATGGCCTGGCAAGGAGATGTGTCTAGTCGTGTCAGTTGTGCAAGACTTGGGGCCTGGCAAGGAGATGTATCTAGTCATGTCAGTTGTGCAGGACTGAGTGCCTGGCAAGTAGAAGTGTCTAGTCATTTAGGTCTTATATATGTATACCACTGACAGCCTGCTTAAGATCCCCTTACATTTCGAGATCAATATAATCAGAAGTCATATGATGTTCCCACAAAATGTTCATTAAGCTTTATTTTTTTATTTTCATTTGTTTATTATAAGATCGTCTTTTGTTTCAGCTTAACGCTTTAGAACTTGGTATATGTAAATATTTACTACCCAAGTTCCTTAAATGCCCCTGAACAGACCAAAACAGTTTGAAACTGCGTTCCTTAGACCACCTCAATCTGTCTGAGATATGTGAATAGCTTTTTCGTATTATATGAACATGGGGGTGCGACAGCTGTGCACATGACAGGAACTTTTGTGGCGATCTAGTTAGGGCTGTATGGATTGATCTTAGTTCTAATGGGTTTATTGTAAACTGGTAACTTTACCCTTGTGTGTTTTCTAAGGATTTCCTTTTTCAATCTTTCCAGCATGAATTGAGATATGCCATTCAATCAGTGACTCCTCAATTGTCTGATACGTTCTTCTATTTGAATCCAAATACTGGTTTACTCACTGTATCAAGACCTCTAACCCAGACAACCACCTCATCCTTTACTGTAAGTTGCCATTTCTTTCATATATCATTCTTATCATAGGTACTGGAGGTTGGGGGTGCGGGGAGGGGCAGGGGGCAGACAGTAAGGCACTGGCTCACTAACCAGGAGATCTAAGGTTCGATCCCGGGGTTGGCCCACGAAAATTCCCCAGTCAGGATTTTCCAGCGTGGTGCAGAACGGAAGGCCTTACAAGGAACAGTGTCTAGTCAATGGGAGGAATAACCTAGGTCCCATGTACACATTGACGTACACGTAAAAGAACCCTTGGCAGTTGAAATTCGATTTAAGAGGAGGTAGGGCACTGCTGTCTGTGCAAAACTTCCTCATAGCACATAAACCCCTGATTGGTGCAGAAAAGTAGGATGTTAAACTCCATTTCGTTTCATTTCATTGTCATTTTTGTGGATTCAGCACTTGTATTGTTAGAAGTAACTGAAGGTGATATGAAATTTATTGACTTATTTAATTACCTAATTGAGAGGTGATGGGGGAATGGAAATATGGCTTGTTTGTAGGAGAATATAATGTAATATCTCTGGAACCAGTTAACATTTAAAATTAGACAATCCAAATCTATCGAAACATTCAAATGAACATTGAAAACCCATTTTTTCCGAAATAGTTTTATGTGACCAACGAGTAAATATTTAAAATCACATTAGTAGCTAAGTGTTTAGTAATCATGTACTATAATTAATCCTGATATAATTATTATTATTATTATTATAAAATCTTCTATTCACAGATAATAGTCTCATTGTCTGATCGAGGAACACCACAATTAACTGCTTCAGAAACAGCACGGGTTGACATTACAATAACAAGAAACAGTCAATCTCCTTTTTTCACCAACTCTCCATATTCGGTTGTAATTAATGAAACAACAAGCATTGGTACATCCATCTTGTCTTGTACTACTGGGGATAACGATGTACCTGGACCATTTTCTACTGTCAGCCACAGGCTGATCGATGACTCTTCCGCATTTAACTTCTTCACAGTCGATTCTTCCACCTGTGATATACGAGTTACAGCAAGTCTGCTTAATGACGACATTCCCCAGTTTATTGTGAGTTTCTTTTATATATTTAACAAAGATTGATGTCATTAGAAAATGAGAAAGACATTAAAGAGGCATTATGTGTTATTTGGACAAAGATCTGGCTGCTATTGCTATAATGTTAATAGTTTTAAAATGGATAATGAAGAATCAATATATTAAACATTTAGTCAAATGACTATATTCTCAGCAAAATCAGGAATGTTTGAAGTCTTGACAAGAATGTTCCTTTGACAATTGCACATGGGGGGATTTGGATTTTTGATATGATGTCACAATTCCAAGATGGCAGCGATGACATCATGTTTGGTTTCTTGTCCATGTAGTAGTATTGTACTCGTTTTTTAAGTTGTACATTCCCAATACATTTCTTATTTTTTGCACATCTAATTGTTAACGAGACTGTTTGTTAATGAAATATTGTATTGATTTACAGGCCCGTATTGTGGCGTACGATGGAGGCAATCCTGCCAGAAGTTCTACAGCTACTGCTACGATAACTATCCGTCGTAATTTGAACCGTCCGGTGTTTACATCTACTACTTATGGAAATAGTGTGTTGGAAACAGCTAATGTTGGATTTAATGTAATAAACAATATTGTTGCACGTGATAATGATATAAGGGTAAACATATTTTCTGAATGGTTTCCAGTTGATCAGATTTACTTATACACACAACACACAGTATTCTAATTTCATTATCAGGGCTCTTGATTCAATATTGTCTGACTGGCAATCAAATTGACCAGCTAGAGAAGTTATCAGTTGATTTATATGCCATGAAATTAGAACTTACTGTCAGTCGATTTACATGTCATGAAATTAGAACTTACTGTCAGTCGATCTACGTGCCATGAAATTAGAACTTACTGTCAGTCGATTTACATGCCATGAAATTAGAACTTACTGTCAGTTGATTTACGTGCCATGAAATTAGAACTTACTGTCAGTCGATTTACGTGCCATGAAATTAGAACTTAC